AACGCGCCACAACGCTGCCTGTTCCGCCTACGTCAGCGCTGCGCCCGCCTCTTTGGCCGGTCGTCCCCCACTCGTCTAGGACGTCCCGCAAGCCCCCGCCTCCTGCCCCGCCTCTCTGGCGGTCGTCCCCCACTCGTCTGGGGCGTCCCGCGAGCCCCCGCCTCCCCCCTCCTCTTTGGCCGGTCGTCCCCCACTAGTCTAGAACGTCCCGCGAGCCCCCGCCTCCCCCGCCCTCATCTCTGGCCGGTCGTCCCCCACTCGTCTAGGACGTCCCGCAAGCATCCGCCTCCCGCCAGCTTCTCTGGCCGGTCGTCCCCCACTCGTCTAGGACGTCCCGCGAGCCCCCGCCTCCCGCCAGCTTCTCTGGCTGGTCGTCCCCCGCTCGTCTAGGACGCCCCGCAAGCCCCCGCCTCCCGCCCTCATCTCTGGCCGGTCCTCCCCCACTCGTCCAGGGCGTCCCGCGAGCCCCCGCCTCCCGCCCTCCTCTCTGGCCCGGTCGTCCCCCACTCGTCTAGGGCGTCCCGCGAGCCCCGCCCTCAGCCCTCCTCTTGGCCGGTCGTCCCCCCACTCGTCTAGGACGTCCCCGCGAGCGCCCCGCCTCCCGCCACTCCCTCTTTTGGCCGGTCGTCCCCCACATCGTCTAGGACGTCCCGCAAGCCCTCGCCTCCCGCCCGCCTCTCTGGCCGGTCGTCCCCCACTCGTCCATGGCGTCCCGCGAGCCCCCGCCTCCCGCCCTCCTCTCTGGCCGGTCGTCCCCCACTCGTCCAGGGCGTCCCGCTGAGCCCCCCGCCTCCCGCCCTCCTCTCTGCCGGTTCGTCCCCCACTCGTCCAGGGCGTCCCGCGAGCCCCCGCCTCCCGCCCTCCTCTCCGGGCCGGTCGTCCCCCCACTCGTCCAGGGCGTCCCGCGAGCCACCGCCTCCAGCCCTCCTCTATGGCCGGTCGTCCCCCCACTCGTCGTCTAGGGCGTCCCGCGAGCCCCCGCCTCCAGCCCTCCTCTTTGGCCGGTCGTCCCCCACTCGTCTAGGACGTCCCTCAAGACCTCAACTATGCCCTCCCGCCCTCCTCTTTGCCGGTCGTCCCCCACTCGTCTAGGACGTCCCCGCAAGCCCTCGCCTCCCGCCCTCCTCTCTGGCCGGTCTGTCCCCCCACTCGTCTAGGACGTCCCGCGAGCCCCGACTCACGCCCGTCCCTGGGCGTTCGCAGTCAGTCGCCGCCGGCGGGGCGCGCCGCCCGACATGTACACAGTCTGGGGTCTGACGGCGGTTGAGGCCGAGCTGGACGTGCTGACCGGCGAGAGTCTGTTGCACCGCGCCGACGTCATGGAGGACGCCGGTCAGCCGCTCTCGCCGGCCGTCGACGTGGGCCAGTGGAGGGCGCGTTCGCGTACGGCGTCGGCCTGATGATGACCGAGCGGTACCGCTTCCACCCGGAGACCGGCCGTCGGCTCACCAACCGTGCCTGGGTGAGAGCAGCCGCACGCGCGCTCGCCTACCCACTGTGCTCCTGCACACCTGATGCTAACTTGCGCCTGTTGTTCCTCTGGATGATTTCTCCCACTATTTCCCCCTTACTCATTTTTTATATCTCGCACTTTATCTCGTGCTCTTTTGGTTTTGTTTTTCTTTGCTTTCTGTTTCGTTTCGTTTTCGTTTTCCACGCCCCATGAGTGTAAAAGTGTTTTGATTACATTTGAGTTGCAAACGCAACAGCTTGCTTCCCGGGTGAAAATCATTTTATATACGTACGTCATGATTTTTCTTTCCATAGAGAAGCTATTATCCCTTTCTATTTCCATAGGCATATCATCATTTTCCTCTCTACGAAGGCATTCTATTCCCTCCTTTCAGCGGCGCAGTTTTCTTTTTAGCCAGGGAGGATTTAAGCTTCGCAACATGATTTTCAGTTTTCCACATTTCATGAAAAAGTGGGTAAAATCTGGTGGGAAGCGTGGTTGTCAGTAAATTTTGGGGGCAACTTGGGTTGTTTTTCACTTTTTGGTCTGCCTGACTTATTTTGCGAAATTACGCCCCTGCCCCTTCCCATGGAGACATGGGTTTAGTTGATTTTGGCGGACATAAACGCTTTCCACTTGCATGGAAACAATGTAATTTTACCTGGTCGCGAGACTTTTATCACCCATTTGATCTGGTGGAAGGGTGTTAATATAAATGGTGATGTGCTTGTTAGAACTTGACGAAGATGTCTTGCTTTCGTGCTTATACCATTACAGAATTACTACGTTCCCACTCACAAGGACATGCCAAGAGACTTCAGGGTCAAGCTGCTCAAGAACAACAGGAATCCGGTCGGAATATTCAACTCCAAGGGTAAGATCCGCTCTAAGGTTTTGGCCGGTCGTGTAGCTACGACGACCTAACGCCCTTTTTCAGATTCCTGGGGTTTAACCTCCTCTGCCCCCCCCCCCCCCGCCCGCTTAGCTCAGAGTGGAATTTTTTTTGACAAACTAGTCTCTGCTCGTCCTGTCGGTGATATTCACGTATGCTGGAGCTGAGCAGACACCGGACTGACCAGTCCCCATCCGGAGCATGGTCGCATTCCGTTCTGTCCGTCCCGTCCCACGGTCACAGTACGTCCCGTCCGTCCCGTCCCACGGTTACAGCACGTCCAGTCCGCCCCGTCCCACGGCTACAGCACGACCCGTTCGCCCCGCCCCACGGTCACAATATATCCAGTCCGTCCCGTCTCACGGTCACAGTCCGTTCCGTCCGTCCCGTCCCACGGTCACAATATACCCAGTCCGTCCCGTCCCACGGTCACAGTCCGTTCCGTCCGTCCCGTCCCACGGTTACAGCACGTCCAGTCCGCCCCGTCCCACGGTTACAGCACGACCCGTTCGCCCCGCCCCACGGTCACAATATACCCAGTCCGCCCCGCCCCACGGTCACAGTACGTCTAGTCCGCCCCGTCCCACGGTCACAGTACATCCAGCCCGCCCCGTTCCACGGCTACAGCATGACCCGTTCGCCCCGCCCCACGGCCACAATATACCCAGTCCGTCCCGTCCCACGGTCACAGTCCGTCCAATCCGTCCCGTCCCACGGTCACAGTACGTTCTGTCCGTCTCGTGCCACAGTCATAGCACATCCCGTCCGTCCCGTCCGTCCCGTCCCACGGTCACACAACGTCCCGTTTATCCATTCCCACGGTCTCAGGACGTCACGTTCGTTCCGTCCCCCGGTCAAAGTGCGTACCAATAGCTCGGATGGTTAGAGAGTCTTCCTTCTGATCCACCAACCCTTGGCAGGGTGGGCTCAAGTCGCTTTAAGCGCTCACCATTTGCCCTTGACGGAAATGGCCTGCGGCGGGTGGCAGAGGCCGTGCTTCCAGTGACGTCAGAGGGCGGGACGGACCGTGACGAGCGTCGCGGCAATTTAAACTTCTGTCAATAGATGCTGCCGCTGACCTGACATTGCCGATCGGGTGATGGGGGTCAGTGCTCAGACGACAAGCACTGCCTATTGTGAGCACTGGCAGAGCTTGAACCAGAAATACATCCATTCAAAATGCTCGGATTAAATATCGCATACAAATGTTATCTTAATTTTGATGGCGACATTCTTCGAAAATGTTCCTTTAAAAGACTACCTGGAGCAGCATTTGAGCCAGTGTGCTGGTGGTCATGCCTGTGATGTCACTCATCATGCCTCCCTGATCCTGCAGACCACTGTATGAACTGAGGCTCTGTTTCTCTGCCGGGTGCCGGTGATGTTGGTGACGTTGTTGGACTTGTTTACCCCGCTAACCTCCATATTCCCGTTGGCCCCTGGTGACACCTTTATCTGTGTGACGCTGTTGACCGCTGTAGTCTTGCTAATCTCTGTCCTCTGTTTGGACCTCGGGCTCAGTCTGGTTAACATCCATGGCCCTGATGAGCTAGTTTATACTGTTGACCCCGGCGATCCGTTGATCCTGTTTTTTATTGATTTTGATGAACCCGTCACCTGTCAGCCCCCCGGTGACCCTGCTGACCTCAGTGACCTGGGGCCGACAGCCACGGGCGAGCCGGCAGTCTGCATGAGCGTGGCCTGCCTGCTGGCGCTGCGCCAAGCCGTGGCCGAGGCGCGCCGAGAGGCCAGCCTTCACGCCTGGTTCCAGTTCGGTAAGCGACGCGACGCATCGCTGGTTCTCGCGAAACTCACCGGGACTCGGTTCAGGATAGGTAGCTCGACGGACGGTTAGTCTGTGTTTAGTGCAGCACCCAATGGCCGCTTCTCGATAAGCTGCTGGCTATCGCACACCGAGTTGCCGGGATTTAAGCATGAATAAGAGGCAGGAGACATTTTTCCCCCTATGGATCCAAGGGAAGAAATTACGATCTGCTGGCACTCTCGGACTCGACTGCACTACTCTGGACTATTGGACTGGACTATTGGTCTGCACTACTCTGCACTATTCTGCACTACTCTGCACCATTCTGCACTACTCTGCACCACTTTGCACTACTCTGCACTACTCTGGAGTACTGGACTGCACCACTCTCGGGATAAACCGTGGGCTGGCGCAAGGCTATCTAACGGGCTGGCGTATCCAGTGAGTCCTCCTACACGTATGCCTTGCAGGAACAGTAGTTAATGATACGTTCCATAGGGTAAAACTAGGGTCACTGCCGTGCTTTCCAGCTGGCGTCATTTTGTCCGTCCCCCGTTCCTTTCCGCCCCATGGCCCCTCTCAAACACGCCCAATGGCGCCTGTCGAGCATTGTCTTGCCATAATGACAGCGTCCACGGTCCGACAGATTCGCCAGCAACGCCCGAAAGGACGCAGATGGCGTGCGACGTGGGGGTCGAAGAGCTCGTGCTGGCCTAGAGGGGCCGCGCCGCTCCTGCTGGCCGGGGTGTTCGCTCGACCACAGATCAGTGAGAGGTGGAGTGACGGCGGGCGCGTCTGCACGCTATCGGTCGCACGCGGAGATCTCTCCCACGTCCGGAGAATTTCAAGGCGACCGCGGGTGGTGGTGGGAGAGACCGTGAAGGGTTTACGAAGCGAGTTATGAAATTGAGTGCATGTGCTGGTCTTCATAGCTTCTATTAGGGGTAAGTTTATACGTAAAGGAGCCTATGAAAAGGATGGGATGTCAATTTTGAAGTTTGCTTCGGAGAGATATCGCTGCCCCATGGTGCTTGGGTGCTAATGAATGCTTACATTACAGTTATAGACATTAATCTCCTTATGTATGTTTCGGCTTGGAGCAACCACTTTCCGACTGGTGGATACAGCTTAATATGTACTGCGAACTTTTCACACGTATCTTAGATTCGAGCAACCATTTTTACTCATGATCTTGCGAAACATTTCCAAGCATCATACATTCGAGCAACATTTATAATCGACCGATGAACAAATGCTTGCGTGCTTGAAATGAGATTAAGAATCGACAGACGCCCTGCAAATGGCCAACCACCTTTCACCACGCCATTCCAAATCACCGTGGGGTATGACATGGAAACCGCCGTCCGCCAAAAACATCGAATTTACCTACATATCCACTACCCATACTACGCCAGTCCCGCCCTCGGCTGCCGCCCGGAGCATCATGAGACGTGCTAAGCCCGGCTGCCGGCGGCCTGCACGTGGTGTGGCAGGCGCTGTGCGCCCTCCCGACCAGTCCCGGCTGCCGGCGGCCTGCACGTGGTGTGGCAAGTGTCATGCGCCCTCCTCACCAGTCCCGGCTGCCGGCCTGCCTATGGTGTGGCAGGCGTCGTGCGCCCTCCTCACCAGTCCCGGCTGCCGGCGGCCTGCACGTGATGTGGCAAGTGTCGTGCGCCCTCCTCACCAGTCCCGGCTGCCGGCGGCCTGCACGTGATGGGGCAAGTGTCATGCGCCCTCCCCACCAGTCCCGGCTGCCGGCGGCTTGCACGTGATGTGACAAGTGTCATACGCTCTCCTCACCAGTCCCGGCTGCCGGCGGCCTGCACGTGGTCCAGCAGGTGTCGCACGCCCTCCCGACCAGTCCCGGCTGTCGGCAGCCTGCACGTGGTCCAGCAGGTGTCGTGCGCCCTCCCGATCAGTCCCGGCTGCCGGCGGCCTGCACGTGATGTGGCGGGTGTCGTGCGTCCTCCCGACCAGTCCCGGCAGCAGCGTGCGGCGGGCCTCGGCTACGCAGCAATCGTCGCCGAAGCAGCCGTGCACAGTGCGCTCATGTCATGTATTGCATTCATACAATGGATTCCAACAGACACACGGGCAAACACAGCTGAACTCGTGTACCTCATTTGTAAGTGCTCGCCAGTACACGGAATACATACTCTTGGATACCGGTTCAGAACGCTGCGCTGCGCCAGGCGTCGTAACCAGAAGCGCCGGCATGCAACCAGACATGGAACTGCACCGTGCATGGTGTGAACGGCCAACGCGACGCCGCGTCAGACTCAAGGCCGCGGCGTGCTCATCAACTGCGATTGATACTGCAAGGTAGACCTTCGGCTAGAGCAAACTCGCGAGACCGGACGCGGTCACACCCTGCCAAAGAAAGCGTCACAGAACAAACAACATCCACGAACAATGCACAAAAAGCATGATGGACTGCTTGTCCAACAGCGGCAGATACAGCTCGTCAACACACTGTGATAGCAACAGCAAGAAAACATCCATTACGACCGCGGCGGCAAACGGTAAGAATCAGGGCGAATATATTGTTCCTGGCGGAGGATGCCGAGCAAACAATGCTGTTTGATCGCTCGTTAAGAACATCACCACGTTCTCGCTCAAAACTCATCGGCTTCAAGCTAACGCGATTCGGTCGGCACAGCCCAGATCATTGAATTGACAACCGCAGGTCAACGTCATCTCTCTAAACAAGTACAGAACAGACAGCGAAATCAATGGACACCTCGCACACAGCGCAGCTTCATGCTTGACGGTCGGTGGAAACACAACCCAGTTGACGTGTGACTGGTGAGCCGTGTCAGGTGCCCGAGACATGGAGTCCCCGTGCCATGGCACCCAAGGCATGCCCCAGCCCCGCTGGGTCCGCAGCCGGTGGCCTTTGGTTTCGCGTTTTCTAAATTCAAAGCCACTGTCTTTGGCTTCGGTTTGGCGTGTAAAAATTTGACAGTAGGGAGGGCGACAGGTTGCTGACGCTGATACTGCACCACCAGCGCTTGAAACTAGCCGTCCAGTGATAGCAGTTGTTATTATAGCAAAGGTCACGGAGTGCATGGCGATCGCAAACCAGAATGTTGACGCTCAGACCATTCGGATAAAAAAGCCACCACCTGTGTCGAATCAGAACCTTACGACAGGCCACTAGCTGGCTGTAAGGTATCCGTAAAGGGGCAGGACTGGCAGACTTTCTGGTCTCTTTTCCTTTTTGACACAACGTTATCATGGGCAGAAACTATGTAACAAAACGCACACACAGTCGGGTATCCCAGATCGGGCGCGCATACCTGCGACCGAGAAGCGAAGGCACCTATAAGAAAACACCCAAAGTGAGAGAGCGTGAGCCTCAAATGACGCCATGAATGAACGATGAACAATATATACACTATAGATATATACTCTGGATGGCTGGATTACACCAGAGAGATAATCGTATCTTATAACGCAGGCTTTGTCACGCAAGCTCTAAAATGACCAAAGTCTGGTAACTTTTTGTAAACGGAGGGGGGGGGGGTACACTAACCTCCAGGTGGCACCAAAGCGAAACGTGGCCCTTCCCTCGATGAAGTACAAGACTTGGATGCGGATATACTGGCCGCAATTAGCAATGCGTAGTCAAGGGGTGATTTGAGCAAAAAAGTTAATGCAGGCCAATGCACAATTCACATTGACGACCAACACCACCCACGCAATGGCATCGTGCGCATACGGTCCTACCCGCAAAACATGGCTAAAAATAATTTGAACTGAGCGCCGTACCTACTCAAGCCACCACTACTGCTGTGCTACCAACAATGGGTGAGACACTGTCGGGGGCTTGACGGAGCGAAAATGGATTCCGTAATCAGGCGGTCACAGGCGTCGATAGGTGCCGAGACTGCTTGATGTGCCTGCCAGCGAACGTATGTTCTGGGGCAAGCACCGGTACCACCGGCCTATTGCCGGTCGTTACGGTCTCGCAGAGAGGCCGCATCGGCCGGGACAGCAGCGACCGTGACCGCCTTATGGCCGGCGGCGATGGCGGCAAGAGGTGGCGGCGGCTACAGCGACGGATATGAGGACGCTGAATGTAAGATCCATATGCGTTATGTGGCACAATATGGTGCACGTGCGGGATATAGCACAAGACATCCGGCGGCTGAGATCATGGCCGTCAATTCGGTGTTCATTATGGGCCACCGAGAAGGCGACTTCCAATGACGTCACGCAGTGGCCTTTATAGAGTGTAAACAAATCGCTTTGATGACTTTGCGTCGTATATTGCGCCCTGGTCGCCTTCAGCGGCTTTCAGCGCAAGGCTGCACGTACCGGCTGCGGTGGCTGGGTTCGAGGTTTGTGTGGTATTTGAGCTGGGGTTTGCGCGAGATTTTTGTATGTTCGCACTTGCTGTCCCCTAGGGTTGTTAGTGGGCATAAGCTTGATGCTTACAACGATCCCCCAGATTCTTTGATGGTCTATAAGTTTGATGCGTAGCCACCCTGCCTTTTGGAGGGTGAATAGACGGAGATAGCTCAGTTTGTGGTGTAAACATAGCTGAAACTCAAATAACATCCAGTCTTTCTCAGGGCTTCATACCACCTGATGACTGATTTAGAGTTAACTGGCTGAAAGATGTACACACCAGATGAAGATGATAGTGAGAATGCTGTTTTCCACGTGCTAGTTGGAGTGGTACCTTGAAAGACTTATGGCTTCCTTAAGTACAAAAAGAATTTAAAGGCTGAAGAAAAAATACATTGTCCTGTAGCTTCATAAGGATGGCAAATAATTTTTTGGCCGTTTGAACCACTCGGCACAATTTGTAAGCTGTAATTCAGGCTCATTTATTTCAACAGGAATCATGTTGTGCACAATGGGACCACATTTGGTACACATATATGCTGCAAAGCCATGGATATATAATGTTGTCTGGACTTCTTCTTCAATATGTACACTGATGATGTGATTGTACAACTTGAATTCTGACCAATATGCAACTTGCTAAGGTAATGTTTCAACCATGACTCATCACAAATGTGGAGCCAGTTCCAACTATACCTGCAGTCAGGTGTAAATATTCTCAGTTGTTCCTGAAGCTTTGAGACACAATTTTTTCAGGTTTCCACTATGGGGGGGGTGCAGGAAGTGGTGCTCCCCTCCATTGCATCTCCAAAAGTGCAGGATTTTGTAGTTACCACTGAGAAAATGTTATTTGTTTTATCACCTCATGCTTTTTCACCCAAGACAACTTTTTATGGCACCTTAGTCATTACCTATTTCTGGCAAGCCTTGCAGCAGAAGTTTGATGATGCAGTCAAAATTTGTACTGCTTTGGACAGATATGGACCTCTAGTTAACTTCTAGAATGTTTTGAATTCCATGTGCTGTTTTATATGCTGACCATTTGATGTAATAATTTTAGTTAGATACTCAGTGTGAATCATACATCACATGTGCAATATTTTTCAGCATCAAGAAAACACCAGAAAAACAAAACAACCATGTCAGATGCAGAGGTAGACTTCATGTGCGATGATGATGAAGATTATGACTTGGTGAGTTTGAACTGATTCTGATCATGAACCAGGATGTATTTCATCTTTTGCCTCATTTCTTGGCTGTTTGTACTTTGTGGCATTCTTTAAAAATATTAAACTGGTATATAATTGCCATCAGCATATGGATTTTTAAAATTTAAATACAAACTGCTGGTCCTTCAAAAATGATGACATGTTTAATGCTGAGCTACCCAATGCATAGCTTGCACTTAATTGTTTGCCCTTCCTGTCATGGCCCACTAGCTGCTAATTCAGGTTGAGTTACATTGTCAGATAGACAATGTAGTCTGACCTGAACTGAGAGCATACATATGTAATCTGTAGCTGGCAGCTGCATGACCAGGCTACTCTGCTGTGATGCCCCACAACAATATGTGTCATTCGCTGCCCCCTGTGTGCCTAATTACCACCCCCTCCCCATTGCCTCGTAGGAATACTCGGAGGATAGTAACTCAGAGCCAGACGTGGACTTGGAAAACCAGTACTACAATTCCAAAGCACAGAAGGAGGAAGACCCCACCGCGGCATTGGCCGCCTTCAAGAAAGTCCTCGACTTGGAGGGTGGCGACAAGGGCGAGTGGGGCTTCAAGGCGCTCAAGCAGATGATCAAGATTAACTTCAGACTGGTGAGTGTGGCACTTTGCTGTGGCCTTGACGATCGATGAGCGCCAAGGGCAGCTGGTTTGGAATTGCACAGCATCTGCCAGGGGCGAGGCTGGAGGCGTCTTGGCAAGGCCTGGCAGGTGCTGGCGATCCAGAACAGGGGACTGCATGCCACTGGCCATGTCAAGGGAGGTTATTGTTAGGCTTGTATTTGGTAGCATCAGGGCTTCGCTTCGACATATCTTTACATGCAGCTGTTCTTAAAGCTGGTGGGATACCAAAAAATAAATCTGAAGAGGCTGTCTGACATTTGAGCTTCAGTCTTTGAACATCTGGAAAGGATTGTTATATGCCTGCTTGAGGTGCATAACCTCCACCTTTGTTAACGCCTCCTATGTCCTGCGCTGGGTGAAATCTGCAGCGAGCAACTCAGTGATGGCCGCAGCTGCCGCTTCGATCCCCCCCCCCCCCCCCTCCTTCCTCACACCCGTTTCGCTGCAGAGGATCCCTGATAACCCTGCGAAGTGCAAGGCTGGATATTTTACTCTGCGGAGACCATTTGCTGAGTGCCAATGGCTGACAGGGGCTGGACTGGTGGGATTTCACGCCTGTCGTTCGCAAAAAGCAACCGGGCAGATCACGTACCTCGTGACGGCTGCTACGCCGCAGTCTCGATGACGGAGTCGCATCCGAAGGCTTAAACTATTGCAAAGTTCTGGGCTGCGTTATGCCGGCCGTTTTTCAGTCGAGGCCTCCCAAGGCTTTTGCCAGGGCTGTGTTCCAGGATTTTCTGATATGTCCGCCAGGTCGGATCACCCATGTGCCCTGGGTCACACGAATTGGGCCCGTTCTGCATGTTGTGGCTGTATTTCCTTGTGTGCATCGTATCTCCGTCGACGCGGAAAGAGGGCGTGTTTGCTGTCACCGGCGCCATTGCGAATTCGTGGATGCGTGCTGTGTGGTGTTAGTAAGTGGCTGGGAGGTTGGAGTGTTTGCTTTGGGAAGAACGTCAGTTCTGAAACTGCTGGTTTATCCGCTCCCGCCAGGGTGTGGGGGTTTTAGCGGTGACTTGCGTCGATAAGAAATACACAATAATATTGACACACTCTATGTGTGCCAGACATTTTGTTCTCTTCAAATTGACGATTTCGGATTTTTATTCTGGTCAAATTAATCTCGATTGAACCGACTGTCTGGAGTGGTTTGTACTGTCGGGTAAGTCATCCATATTGACATTGTTACGTATCTTTTCTGTCGTCAGGGCAACTACACGGAGATGATGAACCACTACAAACAGCTTCTTCAGTACATCAAGTCTGCTGTGACTAGGAACTATAGTGAGAAGTCAATAAACTCTATATTGGACTACATATCTACATCCAAGCAGGTAGGCACTGGTGTGGGGGTTGCCCACACGTTCCCGGAATTTGCATGGCCGCCGTTGTCCGAGTTCTCGGCGGGTAGTGAGGGCCCTCTGGCTGCCGGGTGCCGTGTGGGTGGAGGTGGTTCTTCGCAAGTTACCGGAACGACGTTGTCAGGAAGGAATGATGTCAGCCGACTCGAGCAAGCATTGCCAAAAGGCACAGATGAAAAGAATTGCTTCGCAATCGTCCCATTGTACAGTGTTGAATGGTTTGGTTGTTAGGAGGGAAGCTGTTCAATGCTCCCTGGCCGCCCGCTCTGGCTACCATCCAACTCTGCATGGCGTGGGGGCGTTTTCGTACCCACTAATAGGCTCTGTGTGTGACAGATGGAGCTACTGCAAGACTTCTACGAAACGACGTTGGAGGCCCTGAAGGATGCCAAAAACGACCGGCTGTGGTTCAAAACCAACACCAAGCTCGGCAAGCTGTACTTTGACCGCGGGGACTACGCCAAACTGCAGAAGATCCTCAAACAGCTGCATCTGTCGTGCCAGGTGGGCTCACGTCGGCTACGTCGGATCGTTGCGTGGTGGTCGGAGCTAGCAGACTTTTGCGTGCTTTTTTTGCTTGTGGCGGAGTCTGTTGGCATAGATGGTGGCAGCACAGCGTCAGTGACGATATGGGGCCTCTGATATCGCCTCTTCTGTAATATGGCCTGTCTGCTTTGCAACATGTCTCTCTGCTCAGTGTGACACTGCGGTCGGCATTGTTGACGCGCTCACGGTAGTTGTAAGCGCTTTAAGACATCGTTCATGCGAGTTTGACTGGGCATTTGCTGGTATGCCTGAAGTAATACGGTGCCCGTCCAGCATCACAGCACTATTTTGCGGGAAATTCACACCTTAAAATAGATGCTCGTATACTAAAGCGATAGACTAGGAACAATAGCTTTGTTTTAGGTATGTGGAAGGTTATGACAAGGTTCTCTCGATTCATCCGGTATCTTTCGTTTTGCCAGGAGTTTATTCACTGCGCTGAGGTGTTTCCATGTAGTTTTTTTATCAGCTTGTGTCCTCTGGGAGGCGAGCACGGGTAGTGGTGCCTGCTCTACGGCAGTGTCGTCCTGCACGTAAATTGTGGCCGGGTTTCGCCCGAAGTAAATAAGTAAGAATGACGGTATTTCAGTTGTTCGAGCTCTGTTGACATTTGGTTGGTCGAATGCCTTAAAGGGTCTCCCCTGCGGAGGTGCCGGTGATCACGGCTCTGCGTTTGCTTCAGCTGGCGCTGTGTCTGTGACCGCTCATGCCTGACTGTAACTCGGTACGCCCGGCGACAGACCGATGCCGGCGAGGACGACATGAAGAAGGGCACGCAGCTGCTGGAGATCTACGCGCTCGAGATCCAGATGTACACGGCGCAGAAGAACAACAAGAAGCTGAAGGCGCTGTACGAGCAGTCCCTGCACATCAAGTCGGCCATCCCACACCCGCTCATCATGGGCGTCATCCGAGGTGGGCAGAGTTGTCTCTCACCTCCCGCCACCATACGGTCCCATGGAACAAAGGTGACCAGATCCTGGTAAGCCAGGTGTTACAGTAGTCTGTGGGTCTGATTAGTGGTGATTGTTAGGGGAGATTGGCCTTTGTGGAACTCCTACTAGGCGTGCCGCGGCTTTTTCATGGGCAGAGGCTAAATGGGGCTAAACCAGGCTGCATGACATTAAGTTTCACGATGACCCCGTTCACATGCACAAGTATATGGTGTGCTTGCATTTCCCTGCCCACCTGTCTTGGTGGGTCCGTTAATCGTCAGCTAGGCGCGTTATTGAGGACGCGTTTAGGCAGCAAATCCGTCTGACACGGGACATCCTGACAGAGCTGTGGGACATGCAACTCGAACCAGGGGTCCTTGAAAATGTGACCCATGTGTACATGCAATTTGGACATGAGAGCTGGAGCGTTTTGAACAGCGATGTCAGACCAGATTGTCATTAAGTTTCGTACTACGGTTGTCGCCCGATTTGCTCCAAATAGTATGGGCACACTCATCACATCTACACATTGTGAAGTGGTCTACCGCTGGCGAATGTTCTGGCAGGTATGGTGAGAACCGCCAGAGGTCGCCCAAGTACTCTTGTTTTTTAAGGGACGTGGTAATCAAGCGTGTTGTTTAACTGTAGGAGCTTGATTGTTCCCAGAATGCGGCGGAAAGATGCATCTCCGTGAGGGAGAGTTCGAGAAGGCGCACACGGACTTCTTCGAGGCTTTCAAAAACTATGACGAGTCGGGCAGCCCACGACGAACGACGTGCCTGAAGTACCTTGTCCTCGCCAACATGTGAGCAGTTTTCGTTGGCAAGTGTAATGGGTTCTATTCCACCGCATCGCCTACGTGGCCTTCTAGAGGGACCGCCCCACCTTTTGAGCATTTTTGAAAAACCCACCGCTGAAACCTCAGAACTCGTTATGTGTAGTGATAGAACTGGGTAGTGCCACTGCAGTACAATTAAGGTAAAGAAGAGGTAAATTTGAATTATTTTGGAGCACAAATTACGCTGTCAAGATGTTGTCGCCGCGCCACACCTGTTTGTTTCCTGATGATCCCAGAGTAAAGCCCTATTCCGCGCGACAGCTGATGACGGCAGAGTCTGCTAACGGCCGTCGTCAGCGGTTGCGGACTAAAGGTCCAGTTTTGAGCTGTTTTAACCTGCGCATTGCGGCACGCGGGCTTAAAAGTGACGCCTCTTCTGGAATGATTAACGTCAGTTCAAATGAACGTTTGTGATTGGTATAACGGGTGGCGAAGATAGTTACCGAGGAGGGTATTGGTTGAAGTTTGAACCAGTGTCCGACCAGAGACCATGTGATGCGTCTGTTTCCCCAAAGCCAACGTGCGCTTCGAAAAGGGCCACTGTGTTAGACGTTGTAGTGGAGAAGTTAAAGCCATGGGATGACGTTTTGTGAAATTTACGGGATAATCGTCCTATATTTGTATATCTTTCCCGAAATGGAATGTTCCAAGCTTTCACAACTCTTGTTGCGCAAGCATTTGACAAATAGTGTATTGCAAACATCGTATGACACCCAAGTTGGAAAAACCACAAGTGGAAAGCATTACTTTCGTGGTGGTGACGAAGGAAGCCTACGCGATCTTTCTCGCCGGGGCTGTTACTTCAAAGCGAATTTCGGAGCAGTTCAGAAGCATGTCTTGAAGACGCGCGTTGCGATCAAATTGGACGCGTCTTGATGTAGCTATACAAAAAAGATGGCATACCCCCTGAAAGAAAAAGTACCTTGAAAGTTCGCCGCAAGACGAAACGTTTTTTAGTGCTCACTTACCTTTGAATAGCAGCTGTCTTGTGCATTCGTTACTTGGTTTGATCTTCTTTTTTCCCTGCTGTACAACAAATGTTGCATGTCGTTTCAGGCTGATGAAGTCGGACATCAACCCGTTCGACTCGCAGGAGGCCAAGCCGTACAAGAACGACCCGGAGATCCTTGCCATGACGAATCTCGTGTCCGCCTATCAGAACAACGATATCAACGAGTTTGAGAAGATCCTGAAAACCAACCGGAAAAACATCATGGACGACCTGTTTATCCGGGAGCACATTGAGGGTGGGTGAACTCAGGGCACAGGGGCCGTCGTGGGTGGTTGTGCGCGATTGGCGGTATCTCAGTGTGTGGTTGGAGTGCGAACTGATGTCTGTTGTGTATAAGTTGACAAGTATGGTTCTTAGTGATGTTTTTTTTTTGCGTATTTACCTCGTTTGGTTTGATGTAGTTCTAAGGTACAAAGTTGGCATAGCTCCATCTATTTATGTCTATTCTTATTGGATATTATTTCAGTATTTTGTATATGATGTGCTTTCGTTTCATTTTATATCAAAGGAACTGGCGTTGCTGGTGTCTAAGCCCTGTGCAAATATTGATGCGGCGATAGTCTGCCCTTGATGCGACGAGGTCTCGGTTGGCTGTGTGTTTGCTCGGTGCTGTACGAAGTATCTCCCATTCGGGTCTGATTTCGTCATATCATCGTTCTCCAGACCTGCTGCGGAACATCCGTACCCAGGTGCTGGTGAAGCTGATCAAGCCGTACACGCGGATACAGATCCCGTCCATCTCCAAGGAGCTCAACATCGACGTGGTGGAGGTGGAGAACCTGCTGGTCTCCTGCATCCTCGACAAGTGAGTCTGCGACAAATTCAAGTGCCTTGAGTTATCGGCGGCGGGTTTGGCCATGGCAAACGTACGCCTGACCATGGACATGGCGCGAAGTGGTGGTGGAAAACACAGTGCAGGCTCACGGACAGCCCCGTCAACAGCCGTCTTTCCACCGGCGGAGACGGCCGATCGGTGATATTCAGGACATCCGGTGTCGAACAACTATTGCATCGAGTTGCCTGATGCATTGGCCTTTAGTCGCCATTTGGCGGCGCTGTGTTGACTGCATGCGTATGTACCTCACGACCAGCAGACACTGCAGGTGTTCGGTTGCGCTCGTGTAATGTAACGAGACAAATGTAGCTCGTGATTTCTGCGACCTGACCTGATCCGCGTAACTTGAGTCGTGACCGGACCTGACCCGGCCTGTCGCTCTCGCAGCACGATTGCGGGTAGCATCGACCAGGTGAACCAGGTGCTGGAGCTGGCGCGCGAGCCGCGCGAGACGCGCCGCTACAACATGGTGGACCTGTGGGCGCGCCAGCTGTCCTCCCTGCACGCCACCGTCGTCAACCGCATGATGTAGGCCCCGCCGGCGACAGGCGCGCGCCGCGGGACAGAACACGAGCGGCGCGGGGCTCAGCGGGCGCCGTGGACCGGTCCGGCGTGCCGCGGGGGTCGGTGGAGCGGGCGGCGGCGTGGCGCGGACCGCACAGGAGGTGTGGCGTTCAGGGAGCACGCCTGTCGCCGTCTCGACGGCGTCTCCCGGCAGCCGGCGGTCGGTCGACCGTGCGCTGGTCGCGCTGGAGCGGCCCGGCGGATCGGCGCGCGCCGCCGGTGGAGGTCTCCCGTCGGATGGTGCGCCGTCACCGTCACTAGTGCGGTGTCCGACGACGCCGGGGCTAGCGGACCGTACCAGCGTCCCCTGCCACGCCGCCGCCGGTGGAGGTCTCGCCGTCGGAGGGTGCACCGTCACCGTCACTAGTGCAGTGTCCGGCGAGGCCGGGACTGGCGGACCGTACCAGCGTCCCTGCCACGCCACCGCCGGTGGAGGTCTCGCCGTCGGAGGGTGCACCGTCACCGTCACTAGTGCAGTGTCCGGCGAGGCCGGGACTAGCGGACCGTACCAGCGTCCCTGCCACGCCGCCGCCGGTGGAGGTCTCGCCGTCGGAGGGTGCACCGTCACCGTCACTAGTGCGGTGTCCGGCGACGCCGTGACTAATGGACCGTACCAGCGTCCCCTGCCACGCCGCCGCCGGCCGCCCCGACCGCCTTCTTTCGGTGGAGATCCCCCTCACCGCAGTCTGCCACAGCCGGAGTAGTCGGTCGCCCGTCCTGACGGAGCTAGCTACGGCTACTGGGTTGCTGGTAGCTGGCCGAGTGTCGAAGCGAGCGGTTCTCGCACACGAATCCTTGTTGGACCTTTTACTTGGTGTTGGCCCGAGTCCCGTCTGCGCCGCGACAGCCTTGCGTTGGCGGCGCCTGTCAGCGGCGGCCAGCTGCGTATCAATCCAGTACTTGTGATAGTGGTGAAGAGGGCTCAGTCACCAGTAACTTGTCCATGCTCTGAACGGCGGATTGTTCACGGGCCCGGAAGGGAAGTGTGCATTTGATCGGAAGGTGTATGTGTTTGTACACTGTGCAATGGGATGCAGTACAGTGGACACGTTCGCGGGGACCGAGTGAGTACTTGTGTTTGTATATACATATTTTTTACAAAGCGTGTTTTTTCATTTCAAAAGGTTGGCAAAACTGGCACTTTAGATCAGGACGGGAATGCGGACTGATAGGGGCACATGCAGGATTTCACAACGGGTGGAGAAAGTAACACTGAAAACATTTCACCGGAAACCGAGCGTAGCGTTCCGTTGGCTCGCGCAATTTCTCACGTATCGTAAAGCAACATGCCTTGCCTTGTCCTTCTTCTACGCGTCTACCTGACACTTAAATTGCCGATATTTAATCGCGTACGCATGCATGCCATACATTTCATAAGGAATGGGATCACGTGCTTCTCGCCGAGGGTTGCCATGTGTGTGCGTCCCAGCAGATTGGCGCTCATAAGTGACCTTAGGTGTGAAGCCTATCAGATGGTGTGAGCACTTGCAGCTGAGGATAGCTGACGACCTGACATCGATACTGCGGGAAACACGCCGCACGTGTCACGTACAAATGCTATTTTCCTGATGTATTTCCCTTGATTATCGGATTGTTTGCTCCATATGCTAAACTAGGACACTGAAGATGTCTGCGTCACCGAATCCCCGTGTAAATTCCAGCTAACATTGCGTCACCACTTATGGAAGGGCCACGCGCCGTGAAAAATGAACGACATCGCCTCTGTTGCCCATCCATTTATGTTTAATTAACTAGAACCCACGAAAATACTCAAAGCACTGTCGTCCATGTGGTCTTGTTTTCGTATTCTTGTCTTGTGTTGCCTTTTAGTTATCTCAGCAGTAGCCATCGCTTCAGAGACAGGTTCGGAAGCCTGTTCACCTACCCAGCTTGACTTGAATGATTAAGCTTCAGCGGCGTGCAATAGCTGCGTAACGCACGGCGTCCACCGCTGGCAGTCGTGTTGCTTTGCTACCGACAGATTATGACCCCTCTTCATGTCGGGTAAGCATGCACGCCTGCTACGCTGCTACCTGCTACCTGCCACTCGAACGGCTGCTCCACAGCAACCGTTCGGCGCGAAGGCCACACGCTGTCAGCTCCAGCTGCACAAGGTGATCTTTCCGCGCGGAAGCGTGGGGACGCGGCCGAGCACTCCTCTCGTGACCTGGAGACAGCATGGCGCAGAGGTGGCAGGACTGCTTGTCGCCTAGTCTCCCGCGGGGATGGCAGAGTGACGCGCCCGGGCCCGGCGCAGCTGGTGGGATCGGGCTGATAATTACTCTCCTTTGTACGTCTGACTGTCTATCATGCTGGGCTGCCAAGAGGCGCGGGCCGCGCAGGTGGCTCTGACGTCAAGAAGGCGCAGCTGATGCGCTCGTCCCGAGCGTAGAAAGGGGCGAGGTGGGTGGATCACGTGTCAGTCGGGGGTCTCCGCGGTGATCAGCGCCGACTATGCACCGCTCCGCCGCCGCCGCTCTAGGTAAGCCATGACCAGAAATGGTGGATTCATCTCACCGGGGCACAGCGCTCGCTTCCCACGCGCACCGTGGCACTTGTGCAGAGCGGTTTCAGTGGTAGCCCGTCGAGTCGTATGGCGAATCACCACGGGCCATACGGTTCTGGTCGCCCTCGTATTGCTCAAATCACCGACGTCAACGTTTGACGTCGTGTCGGTTCCGGTCCGAGCGAAGTGCCCGGCTTGACGCTGCGAGGTCCCGGATGTAGATACTCGCATGGCTCCACCGCGACTCATGGCGTTACAAAAGAGCTCACGGATGACAGACGCAGCCGGGGTCCGGATGTTCCCAGCCTGCGTACAATGAGTCATGCATGTCGCGATTAGTAATTGGTGTTCACAGGCGCGATGTCACGCTCTGGAACTGAGGGAACATGCTCATCAGCGTAAGAGCGACATTTTACCTTCGTGGGCCAGCTACCGCGCCTTGAGCTACCAACCATTATCTACCAGCTGCCACTACCACTTACTTCCAGCTACCACTCACTATCCGGGAGTGCACACGTCCCACTGGAGCCGTCTGTCAGCCCACCACCGTCACGTGCTCTCACATTGGTGCTTGTGTCCCAGTGTAGAGCTGACTCACTGACGGGCTGAGATGGCGCAGCTCGACACCGGATGCCCTGTTGTTTCCGGGGCTCAGAGTCGGGCGCGCTGGCGGCCCACAATCACGCACACAAGCCCTGCCCCCCCCCCCCCCCCCCCCCCTCCTCTCCATAGTTGCCTGTTCGGCGGCGGTACGTTCGACTGACCTTTGCACGTCAGCTCCGGTAGGTTCCAGGGGAGGGGGCAGTGGGCAGGACGGGGCTGGCGGGCCCGGGCACCGCCTCACTCGCGATCGCTGCCGAGCTCCGTCAGCACGGAGGCCGCGGCGTCCCGCCTCAGCATGGTGTACCGTCTGACAGGAGCGGCGCTGCTGCTGGCCGTGCTGGCCGCGGCGCGGGCCGAGGAGGCCAGCGTGGTGGGCGAGCCGCTCTCCATCGCCGCCTTCAACGTCCAGCGCTTTGGCATCACTAAGATGCAGAAACGAGACGTCATGGACCTGCTGGTCAGGGTAAGTCAGATTCAGATGGAACGACAGTTTAGTGTGTGTGTGGGTGTGTGTCTGTGTGGTGTGTGTGTGTGTGTGTGGTGTGTGGTGTGGGTGTGGGTGTGGTGTGTGTGTGGGTGTGTGGGTGTGCCTGCATGTTTGATGGCCTCATTTGTCCCTGGTCATGTGACCGTCGATGATCGCTCGCGCATATCGTGCATTGATGATCATTTCGGCGCTCTTTGCGAGCGAGGCGAAAAAACGATCAAGGCTTACAAGTGTTCTGTAGGTACTCAATGTTTGTGATGCTAACTCCTCCATGTGCTTGGCCAGTCTGGAAATGTTTGGCAAGTTTTCCGCATGATAGCGCCTGGATTTGGACAAAAAACAATTGGCTGCAACAAACGACAGCTTTTAAAAGTGGAGGATGGCCCAGATGAAACTTAACCTACATCCCTCCTACAGTGGCAAGGGTATTTGTTGCACAATCGTGACTGCGGTGGGTATCGGACTGGCAATTAAGCGCTGCAACGCGATTAGCGGCAGCGGCAGTCATCGGTAACCCCTTACTTGAATCTGTTAAGATTTTTTTCTGTTATCACACTCCTTTCTAAGCTTTTCATTAAAAGGCAGCTTCACGTTGTCTTCTGATTTGAAGTCGTTTCTCCGCAGTAAAACATTTTGTAATCTACAAAAGTTTTTTTCATCGGGGAAGCAAGTTACAGTTACCGAAATATGGGTTAAAACTGTGCTTTGGGAGAAGGCCAGATCAACATTGGCGGCCAGCCCTCCCCCCCCCCTTCCTCCTTCTCCAACAGATTTTACATAGGTGAAACCCCTGGGTGTGAGCACTGCGCGCGCCACAATGCAGTTTTCAGACAAGCGTAGCACAGCTATTTAACAGTTGCGCTGCAATATATTTGAGGCAGCTACTTCAAACATTTCTGATCAGGCAGCACTGCAGCACTGCAATATCACGGCAATCCCACACTCCCATTTGACTAAGGCGGGAAGCGTACAACTTCCTAACTGCAAAGAAGCTGAAGAACACTAGTCGAAGCCGGGATCAGATGTCGCCGGCCAGGTGCCACGTTGACGCGGAACAGTCCCAGTGGCCAGTCAGGCCCGAGTACACACTATGGACCGGTCCCAGTGGCCAGCCAGGCCCGAGTGCATACTATGGACCAGTCCCAGTGGCCAGCCAGGTCCAAGTGCACACCATGGACCGGCCCGCATGGGCGGTTGGAGAAGCGACTGGAAGGTAGCCTGCTGAATGAGCAACTTGGTTTAGGGGTTAATTTACGTTACTATAAATTGCATATGATAGCTAGGTTACCTCCATATGTTTCAGATAATGATGGATGTTGCGACACGGCATGGTACACAGATAAAGGAATCGCTTTCACTTTTTTTCAAAACCTGCAAATTTCGTCATGTTATTGCTCGTGGTGGCACGAGAATTCATGTTCTCAATGTTATGATTTGTTTTTGTAAATGTATCACTTGATCCCAGGGCGGTATGTTCTTTCTTCAGTGAACTGCATCACATAACCTAGGCCGGAAATATCAGTGGTGAAATGCTGGGCTTCCATGTGGGGTACCGAGTGCGCCTCGCGTCCGGCGGTCCCGAGGTAGTTATTTGACCGCTGCACTCGCTGGCGCGCACCAATAAGGTGTGCGTCGATATGCCAAACGCAACACGTTTCAGGTATCATCCCAGACCACAAAATGCCTTCAACTGGGGTCTGCATGCGACCAAACTCAGTGTTACTCAGCATGCAAGCAAGATATTTCTTAGTTATCTTTAGAAGACGTCACAACAGTGTTAAGCAGTTTTCAGAGTAAACACTACACTGTTGTAGCTATACTTGTAGGAGACTGAAGCCCAGTGCTTCGAAGGTGTGACGTGCGTGCGTGACTGACGTGCGTGCGTGCTTGTGACGAAGGTGCGTGCTTAAACAAAGTGTCATGTGTGGACCACTACATATGACCCTCATGTCAAATGGCTCTCGTGCCTTCGTCTGCATTTAAAACGTCAGTCGCGGTACCTCCATCTGCCAGGTACCCCAGCTGATCTTCAAATGCTGTTTGCTACGAAGAACAGCATCGAAAGACATGGTCGCGGCTTATTGGTCGTCTTCAAAGGATACATTGTCGGTATTGAATATTCTCTGCGTTGTTTTGCCTATATTTCAGCTTGCTTTTCATTATCGCCATGCACAACGTCACGCGATGCGGGGAATGAGCATAAAGATAGGCATCTGCCGCTGTCACTGACCCGAGGGCGGGTCCAGGATTCCGTGAAGAGTCAAGCACTCGACATGCGTGCCTCGCCGTCGACAACATATTCATACTCGAGTGATATTCGTGACGGTCAGCTGGTGTTGGTACCACACTAGGCTTGTCCGTATCGCTTGTTGTGCTCGTCGTGTTTATCTTCCACATGAAAATCGAATGAGTCCGTTTAAATGGCATGACTAAACCTCCTACAGCTCTGTTAGTTGGTAGCATAAGTAAGGCATTCGGGAAGTTACCTGCTAGTCTTAAAGTGTGTACCCAACGCGATCTAAAAGTCGTGTTGCATCTCCATTCGGGTTCTCATGCCAATCAAAAGTCCTCTCGGACGAATACTGATTTACATATTATCGAACTTCGTCGCCAGCTTGATGGTCAAACTCGCATGGCTATCGCCCCTGGACCTTAAGGCCCCTAAAAACTTTGAATTCCGGTCTTTCCCCTTTTCTTTTTGTTTATTATTTCTATACGCGAGAAAGAGTCTTCCTAAGCGCATCCGTGGATCGCCAAACACAGGACGTAAGCACACGGAGCACGTTCGTTTTCTCCAGAGACTTGTGATTTCCGACATTTTCAGGCTACGTTTTTTCGCAAAAAAATATGACAAAATGAGTTACAGTATACTCCATCAAATTTAAGCACGAATATTAATCACAATAACTAATTATCGTTATGCGCGGTGAAACCGGTTGAAAACAAAATATTTGTGTTGCTTAGCTAACCTACAGCTAATAGGTTAAAGCGAAAGAAGCAGCTTTTACACGACTTTCGACCTGAATTTGTGACGGCCAACTAACGTTGCATGATGTACACATCGAGATCTCGGTATTGGCAGCGAAAGCTGGCGAGAGCAGCTAAATTTTTAGTACGGCGGTGAAATGTGGCGGGGGTATAAAAGGGAGTGTCTCACCTTTGTGGCATATTTCAAAAACATGCTCTAGTGAAACCTCAGGACGAGTTACGCCTGATAACTGAGTAGCACCGCTGCAACACCGTCTGGACATAATAAGGACATCAAATGTAATTATTTTCCCGCCTAAACTACGCTGTCAACGCTTTTGACAACTTAACGATTCGTTCCTGCAGTCGCCACCACCGTCGTCACAACGACCGTGCGCATCCCTATTGGGCCTTAAAGAACGTTTGTGATTGGCCCAGCGGGCAAGGAATTGTTATCGAGCAGTTGGTTGGTTGAAGTGTGGACCAGTGGTCATACGGATTATATGATATTCCCGTTCCCAAAGCCAAAGTGCGCCTCGAAAAAAAACGCAGTTCTAAACGCCAACAGGCCAAGACAAAGTACAAGCCACAGTACAAAGTTTCGCTGAATTCGCGGCAGAATAGCTTGATGTTGGCGTGAAGCATGTTCGCATGCTCACCTGTTTGTATAAGCATAGTGTTTCAAGTTTTCGCGGCATTTATTGCCCAGACAGTTTGACAAATCAGTGTGTTGCAATATAACAGAGCACACACGTCGGAAAAGGCAAAGCAAATGGAACGTATGACTTTCTTAGTGGTGAGCAAGTCAAATGAGGCATTTCCCGTACGGTTGGATGCTTAAAATCGAAATTCTGAGCTATTCATGATTTCGAGGAAACTGGTATTATTGATTAAATCGTGCGCGTCTGACATATCAATGCGCGAAGAGTACAACGAGATGGGATACTCTCGTTTAACAATGTTTAACAATTAAATTACAGCCGCACACAGTCACATATCAGCCGACTGGTCGGGCTTCCGCCCCCCGCCCTCACAAGCTGACAGCCAAACCCGGGATTAGAGCCGAAACCGCGCAACATATGCCCCATTCTTAATTATGGGATCACGCCTCTCGCGCGAGACGCAGTACCAGGCCGGGAGGGTCGCACGGCCAGTGCCCTCCCCCCCCCCCCCCCCCCAATTGCACAAGAGGAGAGTTTTTTGTGGTCAGCGCCCGCCTGATGGGGAAGGGTCAAGGGGCATCGTCGGAGCGTACAGCGTCCATGCCCCGGTTCTGGCGGGGACAACACCCGAGCACCCACATCGTGCGTGTTTTCGTCGGCCGTCCCATTGCCCGCGGGGTCAGAGGTCGTCCCTACGTGGCCGTCAGCGTCGGGGCCGTCCTGTTCTCGATGTACGGCTGCCGGCTTCCTGATGCACGACACTGTGTTTTGCCTCGGAGGCCTCCCTTTTCGGCCCTGCGCACCACGCTTCATTTGTTTCGCGCGTTTTTCCTCTCAGGTGGACCGTCCTGCTCTCATTTTTCCGCATGGTCCGATCGTTTGGCCAGAATACGCCTTCGTGCAATATGTTGCCGGGCCGGCTTTCTCTACTCCCAGGGATCGGTCCCCGACGTGCCCCTGGACCAGAACTCGGGCGTCTCGTCCCCTGTGGCGGTGAGCGCGGGCTCGATCTTTTCCTGCCTCGTTTCGGGCGGGCCCTGCACGTCCCCCGGTCCAGCTCCCACGTGGTGCGGCGCTTCTGGTACCAGCTAGGGTGACAGCGGCACCGGTGCGGCACTTTCCGATGCTTTATGAAGTCAAGTGGTACGCGTGCGGAAGGTATCCAGGGCCGCAGGCTCCATCTATGCGATTTTCAGGTTGATACTTGGGACGGATTACCACGTACAGCACCACGAACTAATGGCGCAATCACATGATATATTTCGTTCGTGTTGCTATAACTGCTAATCCCATTCAGAAAATAAGATTTAGATTTCTACAGGTGAAATGCTCCGCTCAGGAGTTGAACGGCAGCCCGTTCCATCCCAGGGTTAAGTATTTTGAAACGAAATGTTTTGGGTTTGAGGCTGACGTTTCTTACATCAAAGGCATGTACCTGAAATATCAATACATTCATCTTTTCATTCCCGTGGTTTTTCTACGAGAAATAAAGCTACCAATACTGTCTTAAACAAAGTATTTGCATCGCTTTCAAAACACAACCACTGAAAGGGTAAACCATTACAACTTCCTCGATTTCCCATGGAAACCCGCTGGGTCTTACCAAGCCCAAAGCCTAAGTTTCAAACAATATCCTCCGTGCATCTGTCCGCGAATGTCAAATAGCAATATGCTCATCTGTCTGCTAGACACTTGAGAGGAGGATGCCCCGAGCTATTGATGGCACGTAGAGACTTTCACTGGTACGACTGTCTTTACCCGTTCTACCTGCCACCCATGGGGAGGTGCCCATGACCTCCTTGTACACATTCCCAAACAAGTGATCCGCACTTGACCCACTCATTTGCATTTTTCCAGCATTTTATGGACGGGACTATTGTGACCAACGAAAGAGCATGCAATAACAGTGTGTAGTGTCTTTGAAGAATTTGCCCAAAGTTTCATAAACGTCATGCCCAAATATGCAAACACAACCTATTTTTTTCCGAGATATGTGACCAACCCAACTCGTTACCTATTTCAAACATGTACCTTTGGGTTTACCCATCCCGTGAAGTCCTTTAAAAGGATCTTATTGCTTGAGTTTCCAAAGTCATCGAGTTTCATTCACTATGTTTTGGCATCATCTACATGGTGACAACAACCTGCATTTGCTGTCACCTCGTTCACCCCATGTCGTAAGATACATCTTAAAAGCCACGGAAACAGGTACAAAGGTGATCCACCCCCGACGACCCGGCTCGCCCGCCGTCCGGACGCGTGACTCGCGGAGCTCGGGGGTCGGGTGCGTGGCGCGCCGGCTTCGGCCGCGCCCAGCCGGGCCTCGCGCCACCTGTGCGGCGGTGATTCAGATGCTGGGTCGCCTCGTGCGGTCGGCGACAGAGCACGTCCTCCACCGGAAACGCTCAGTGAAGGGCTGCGTGATCCCGTGGTATTTCAGAGGGCCGGCAAGGTAATTTGGAGGTTACGTGTGTGACGGAAATGAAGGGACATTTTCAAGAGCAAATGGAAACAGTGCGTCTCGTACAGCTTGTGTGGTCGATGGAAGAATTTAAGGTCTCATGTTGGTATGTTGCATCTCAAATTTATTTATTTTGCAGTGCATTGAACAAGTAACAAGTTTCATATTGATTCAGACGATATATCAACCTATTTCGGCTGCGACTTCTTGTGACGCGAAGTAAGGGCAAATCGTAAAAGTTAACCTGAAACCTGGAGGCCCATATGATGATGCGATGCGTGAATCTTTCGTAATCCAGAAGTCAGCTGAGTAAATCAACTGAGTTGTGCGGCTGTTGCAAGGCACGAAATATCTCTTTGAGTCTAAGAAGCCTTTTCCAATTTCCTCCTCCTTGTGCATGCACGGGAACTGCTCAGTTCTGTTCTTTTTGTGCCTGGCTGGGACTCCAGCGTGAGATGAAAAAGAACAATGCATGTCACGCATCACAACACAGCTGCCCAAACGTCGTCCTGGACGCTCCAACCTGTGTGAACACACCGCCGATTCCTCACTGTGCAATGCTCTCTGTCCTAAAGAAGACCTTCTTACGAGGTGCTGCATGGGATCCATGGCACTGCATGCATTCTTTGTTTCCCACTCTTCGCAAGATTAGTTAATCGGAAGTCTTGATGATGCTAAAAGAGGGAAACGATGAAACACCTATTGCTCAGATTGAGAGACCATGTCATGTCTTTGTCCGCTAACCTTGTGCAAGAGGCGCCGAAATCCAGTTTTAAAATACTAAGAGTTACTCCGGAGGTGTGCTCAAAATGCCAATGCAGGATGTCATGTCACAACGCTTTGATGTTATTTGAAGATAAGCTCCTCCTTCAAACTACAAACTTACGAGCGTGTGCTTACTTGCAGAGCGGGAGAGAGAGAGAGAGAGAGAGAGAGAGAGAGAGAGAGAGAGAGAGAGAGAGAGAGAGAGAGAGAGAGAGAGAGAGAAGGAGAGAGAGAGAGAGAGAGAGAGAGAGAGAGAGATGAGGAGAGAGAGAGAGAGAGAGAGAGAAGAAAGAAGAGAGATGTTATATATGTATATATTATTATATATTATATATATATATATATATATATATATAATATACTGCCCGTTTGTCGGCGTGCGTGTAAATTATTTAACCGGACGTAGAGCGTGTGGGAAGGCGGCACGTTTCACATCGCAGAGACAAAGAGACGTGCACGCGTCCCCTCGCCGCGCTGATAGTGGCGCTGCCGGCACCAACGGCGTCTCCTCGCCGCGCAGGAAGGCGAACAGGAGCCGCGTATCTGTTCTAAATTTATGCGTGACATTGCGCAACTGCCATCCTTGACGGCTTGAGAGAAGTTGAGCTGGAGTCTACTGCAACCAGTGAGTGACGCGAACCGTAAACGGATGCTGACGTTTACCCATACCCATTTGGACGGACCCATTTGCCCATTTGGACGGACCCATACCCATATCCATACCCACATCCATACCCATTGACGTTGAAAAGTATGGCTTTATAACCTCATTCTCCCAATGAATTCCATGCGCATAAATTTAGGTGAATTTATTCGAATAGGTGTGTGCTCTTCGCTTTTGATCGATGGCATCTCTTCGAACTGTGATAATCTTACGAGACATGCATTCGTATTGTTGTTTTTTTGGGGGGGATAGTGTAACAAGTACATCTCAGCTAATTCCGAGCGGACTGATTTGATCGCGGTCCAACGCCTATCTGGGTGGCTGCGTGCTCAAACTGAGAGGTGACCCAGTCTGCAGTCACCGCATCGGTACAGCAGCTGAACAAACATGGCAATTTGTCTCCCCTTTCGCTGCAAAAGTAGCCTGCTACTAGCCGACCATAACCCCGCCGCCCGCCCGTCCACCCGTCAGGTCCTGTCCCAGTACGACATCACGCTCGTGCAGGAGATCGTGGACGTCTCGGAGGCGGCCATCCACAACCTGACGGCGCGGGTGGCCGCCGCCACCGGCCAGCCTTACAGCGTCACCGTGTCGCCGCGGGTCGGCAGGAACGCGTTCGAACAGTACGCCTACGTCTATAGGTGGGTCCAGGTAGCTGGAGTTGTGGTCGACTCGAGCCCTCCGCCCGCGGTAGTCTTTGTGTCTCTCGCAGCCATTATGGCCATCATCACCAGCTTTTCTAGCAATGTGGGTTGCATTGCTAGCAAGTGGTCGTCCGTCGAAATTTGCTATGGTTCCGCCGGCGCCGAATGTTTCTTGAACGGGTTAAGCCCGACCACGGTCCCTGGGTGTTGTTCAGCTGACAGCTGGATGCGTGTGCTCTGTCTCCGGCAGATCGGACCGCGTTGGAGTACGGAGCGCCCTCATGTACCCGGACCCCAGCGACGTGTTCGAGCGGGAGCCGTACATCGTCACGTTTGCCCTCGATGACGTCCGTGAGTTCGTTGGGACCTGTTTCCACGTCCGGAATCAGTCAGTCGCTAAGCTTTCGGTCACGGCGGACTAACAGACATGTGTGCTTGTTTGATAAGCTGATGTCTTGACATGTCCTCGCATTAAGCCACTGGGCAAGCAGGTAGCACTAAATCAAGGATTTCGTTGTCACGGGACGGAGGGACGAAATCCACTCTAGCGCTATATTACAGTCGAAGCAGATCAGAAAAGTAAAAAAAGTGGTAGTTACCCGTGTCTCAGACTCATTTTCCAATTCAGTGGCACTGGCAGGTGGGTATGGGGGTCATATGCCCCTCTATGTCCCGGACCGACGATTGTGGGCCAGATGTGAGGAGTTTGAAGGGCTGGCCGGAGGTCGTGTTAAAGGCCCCGTTCCGCAGGGTCAAGCCCGCGATTTGTGATGGTCGGGCCCTGAAGCAATGAAGGCCCCCTGTGTCAGCTAGGGGCCCATAGTGCATAACAGGGGGTCTTGTGCTGGCAAGGGGCCCCGAGTCGGCTAGAAGCAGCGTTTGAGGGGACCAAAAAGTGGTCCGAAGAGCCCCTCGGAACGATGATCTCGGGACGATGATCAAGGGCCCGACTGAAACACTGAAGGCCCCGCAGGACCCCAAAAGGGCTGGTTGTAGATTGCATTAAGGACTCCTGCCTGCGGGACCGAGCTCTCAGATACCAGTCAGAGGACCCCTTGTACCGACTGGGGCCCCCTGGGACAATGCGGGCCGATGTGGGCCGTGTCACCAGAATGGTAGCCAATACTGAAAGGCACCCTGCGCTGGGACGGATGGCCCCTCAGTCCTTGGCCGGGACCGGTAATGCGCTCCCTAGTGGTCTGCTGAATGTATGTTGCAAAACACCAGTCCTTCCATTTATAGCGCGGATAGGGTTCGTCATTTCAGTAGTAGTGCTCGGGAGTCCGCGCCATCATGTTCTTCACAACGATGAAGTTCCGCCGCGAGCAATCCAACGTCCTCTGGCGGCAGGGTACCTCAGCGAGCTCACCCTGGTCGGCATCCACACCCAGCCCAGAAAGGCCGACGTTGAGATTGACGCACTGTCGGACGTGCTGGACTACGTGCAGCAGGAGATGAGCGCCAGTAATGTCGTCCTATTGGGCGACTTCAACGCCGGCTGCAGCTACGTCACGGAGACGGAGTGGGCGGTGAACCGACTGAAGAGTCGCCAAGACGTTGTGTGGACCATCGCCGACTACACAGACACCACCGTCTCAAGTACAAACTGCGCCTACGACCGGTAGGTGGCAGCAGCGGGCGGCGATTTTGGTAGGGACCAAGGCAATAGAACACCAGTAGCTCCGCAAGCTCTGTTGCTATTATGACATGAGTCGTACAAGGCGACTCATAGCTTGGACAACTTACTGTCGGAGGAGCTGCTTTTGAGATAGTGTGGAGCAAGACCGTAGACAAGGCGTGGACCGGGCCCGTAGCTGGGCGGGAGCGCTCGGAGCTCGTGCATCCCCTGCGATCTGGGGTGTATCACCACCCTCGTCCCGTCTGACTCCTATACTTTGGCATGAGGTATCATGACGATTGCGTGTGCTCCTTTTTTCTGTAGAGTTATGCAGCAAATAGTATACAAAATAATGGTAAAGCATAGCTGTCCAAGCCAGGAAAAAAAGGCCCGTGATTAAGCAAGTGCCCACTTTTTGCCAGGACGCCAGTGCACCTCCTGACAGAAGTTGGGACCCTTTTCAATTTTGTTCGGAACGCATGCTACGGACCTGCGTGCGCCGGTGTAACAGCGTCGTCACAGTCCACGCTCTGATCGGGCAGGATCGTGCTGAACGGAGACGCCTTGCTGGACGCCGTGGTGGACAACAGCATCGGCCCCCTTCCGCTACGACGAGGCGTGGGGCATCGGGTTTGAGCTGACGGAGGATGTCTCCGACCACTACCCGGTCAATCTGCAGGTATGCGGCTCCCGAAGGCCACCACGTTTCATTAACCTGTAGGCCCACGCACTGCCATGCCAAGAAGAGTGTTGCTCTGCTACAATGACATTGCCCTTGTGACAGTGCTCAACGCCAGTGATCTCTGCATCTCTGATATACAACCCATTGAGAATTCGATTTCATTTTCTTCAAATACACTGTAAACTTAACCCTATTTATGTGTGAGCAAGTCTTTCCCGACTGTGCCCTACGCTTCGTGATGTTCCCAAGTCGAGTGCGATCCTCGCTGACCACGCGGCCTTCGTCCATCAGCTGAAGCCGAAGACAGTGAGGGCGGCCGAGCAGTACCTGTACCCGCTGGACGTGTTCTCCGTCACCGACCGGCGCGGCGTGCCGGCCGATGACGTCAGAGCTCTGACCACCGCCGCTGATACGGCCCAGTACGACGTGCTCGGCCTCTACGACGCGCAGAGTCAGCTGGTCAAGGTCAGGGTGGCGGGCGGAGGCTGGGACAGATGACTGGAGCAGCAAAACGCTCCGGGAGGGCGAGCGATGAGATGGATGCTGCTTTTCCTATGCCTCTAGGCTAGTAATGGACGAACGAAGATCAGTGCTGACGACCCTGGGGACAACACGGACATTACCGTCCGCGTGTACTCTACGGATGTCACGATCACTGCCATTGCTTGTCAGGAGTCTCAGGAAATCTATTGGGGGATTGCGAAGCAAAAATAACACTTAAACATAGCTGTTTTGTTGGCATGAAAGTCAACTGGCGCTTGCCATTCATTTTTGTGACCGTTTGGGAGCGATGACGTCAATGACGCTCGCACTGGATGACAGTCGCGGCGCCAAACGGAAGTTCTGGCTGGCGCATCTTGGAAACTATTTGGGGCATCTCCGAACGAGCATGTTGAAAATGCTATCTCGGAGCATTGCGTCAATAGCTATCGATGTCTCGACTTCTACGGCAGGTCGAGGCTTCGTACAGGTCCTACAAGCTCTCAGGCGATGGAATCTTGGACACGCTTATCAGCTTCCAGACTAAGTTCCCCAGCATCGTCTCCAACTACGACCTGGGTCTGCTGCGCTACAAGGTAAGGCAAGCGGAAAGAAGGGTCGCTGCTGAACTGCCCTGTACCGCTAGCATTTGGGCCACGGAAACGCCCGTCCCTCGGGGCTTGGAAGTCGTCGCCATCGTTCATAAGCATAGGGATGCGCTCCGCGCGGCGCTGCACGGCGTTTCGCGCAGCGCTTGCGACTATGGGCACGGTCATATCAGCGTCCCGGCGCAGGCGGCATGGGCCACGAGTCGAACCGGGGCCTGCTGCGAGGGCGTCCGACGAGAATGGTCATATTCCGGAGTGATCCGATGGTCGTTCAATGACGTCACTGAAATGCGACCCACGTAAGCCTTACGTTTATATGATTTACTCATCTCAGCGTAGCGATATGTGTATGTGTATGCGTGTGTGTGTGATTAGCCGCTGAGCCCGCTGGGCCTGCAAGAATGTTAACATGTAGCCAGAGAACAGTTCAAGAACGAACTTTCTAGCTCAGCACGTGCATATTCAGATCAATCACAACCGTACTAGTGTGGAGGATGTGCATACGGGGCACGCTGCGCATTCTGCCTGCTCCCTTTCAACGAAGCATAGCTCGGCAGTGGTTACGATGTCGACGGTTGAGTGTCGACGAAACGTCTGGTGCCGCGGCCTTCCTGACCCGAGTCCGTGTCCACCAGATCGAGGCGGGCGCCCTGAATGACCCGAACCGTGTACGAGGCAGCCGATGCGCCACGCTGGTACGCCCAGGTTTCCTGCTCCATGGCGTCCAAGCCTCGCTGCCAGGTCACCGTGGAGAAGCGCACACTCGTGGCCTGAGTCAGCTGATCGGACAGGTCACGCGTCGGTGTCACCTGGCCGGACAGGTCACGTGCCTGAGTCACCTGATCGCACAGGTCACGTGGCGGCGTCAGCTGATCGGACAGGTCACGTGCCTGAGTCACCGGATCGGACGGGTCACGCGTCGGTGTCACCTGACCGGACAGGTCACGTGCCTGAGTCACCTGATCGGACAGGTCACGTGCCTGAGTCACCTGATCGGACAGGTCACTTGCTGGCGTCACTACATTCGACAGGTGACGCGCCAGTGCCAACGCGTACAACGGAGCGTGAGGAGTCAGTCAGTCGCACAGTCTGGTGGTGGTCGGTGACGGCGGGTCGCTATTGCCCGAAGCGGCAATTAGGGTGGTTGTGGGTTGTGAATACACGGGAAGTGCCGCGTACGGTCTCTTAAATAAATGTATGGAAAGGCTAACCAAGGTGCGACATTGCGTTCTTTGTACCGGCGCGGTTTATTTTTCTTCAGATTTCGGAACATATTTCTTAGAACCAGATGTGTGCGTCCGGCTCTGGACAAGGACTGCTCCGGATATTGCAAATATTTCTTTGGATTGCCTTGGATATGTTGGCTTGCTTTAATGCATTTGTGGATGAAAATTAGCGGACGGCGCTATATTGAAGTGCACGAAATAGATTTAATGTTGGTCATGGCAAGTGTGCCGGTAATATTCGTAATTTGCATGTAAGCGTTACGGAATGACTAAGACTCAGAGCTACAAACATTACCTCTGGTAATTTACCCCAATAGGCGCAGAACATCAGCAGGAATTGGATACCCTAGTGGCAATCCCGACTGGCATTAGCACTCACCCTGATTTCCACAGAGGTGTAAACAGATGTGCACACATTTATCTACTATTATACTGAAGGAACTGTGTGTGTGTGTGTGGTGTGTGTGTGTGTGTGTGTGTGTGTGTGTTGTGTGTGTGTGTGTGTGTGTGTGTGTGTGTGTGTGTGTGTGTGTGTGTGTGTGTGGTGTGTGTGTGTGTGTGTGTGTGTGTGTGTGTGTGTGTGTGTGTGTCGGCTGCGCTCCCTGCAGGCCAAACGGTCGGGATTTTTTTCCATCAAATTTGCACATGACCGAGATGTACCGGCTGCACATTTCTGAATCACGTCAAAATTTCGCATTTCGCCAAAAATGAGCACGTGCCGAAAAAACGCATAAATCCCGTAGAATTAACACGGACAACGCCAGTTCAAGACGACCGGCCGACGCTTCGCTTCCCGAAGCCGTATCTGGGTCAAGGGTAAAGCCGTAACTGGCAGCGACATGAAACTTGCACAGTCCGATAGCGCAGGGAATGGGCCATCGCAATCGGGTGGGTTTTTGGCGCCACGTCACATGTGGCACGTGCACACGTGCTGACAAGATGGAATCGGCTGTTTTGACGCGGTTTTACGTTCACCATTGTATCTTGGCACGGAAAGAAGGAATTTTATTCTCCAACATTCATAATTGAGGCCGCTACATTTTCGGTGCGTATCGCGAGTTTCTGCAACGTACCGGTGCGCTGCAAATTGCAATACAGTTTACAGCGGGCCGAGTATTAAAAACCGAAGCCGAATACAAGCCGCTACCGTCAAAACTATGCGTGATCTAGCGTTGAAAATTACATCATCGTGTCGGCCGATGCCTGCTGTCTCTTATGCACCCTTTTGATGACCGTATTGAAAAATGTCGCTCTCAAATGAGCCTAGACTAAGCGGTTGCACGACGGTTTCTTCGCCGCGACGGCGGCAAGTTATTGTCCCGGCTTCCGGCGTACGCCCTAGGCGTTACTGCCTGGCGCGCGGCGTGTTGTTGCCACGCCTCCTTCCGGCCAGCGGCAAGGCGGGCGGCGTTCCGCGCGCGATCCTTGTCGCTCACACCGGCGCGATTTTTCATTTAGGGCTCACACCTTTGCTCTTTTCCCCAGTTTTACACATTTTGTGCCACATCTCTGCATCCAGGGCACGGACGCACTCGGAAGTAACATGCTTTGGTAGGGGAATCGAAGGGGCAATCACGTATGCGCGTGCCGGGAAAGCTGACTTTGCCGGTACCGACCTTTTTTTTACTTTTCCACACAATACCATGCCGTTTAATACACCGGCAGTGCGTACTGCCAGCATTCAAAGGCGGACAGTTGATGGAAGTGGCATAAATCTCCGGTCACGTCTCACGATCAATCCCCGGTCCCATGAAATAGGTGTGCCTGTGTGGCAGAGAGGGCGGGCAGAATACGCTCTTCCCGTCGGCAGCCACCAGAGGGCACCGGAAACCGCACAGCCCGCGGCCGAGCCTCACGTTTTGCGCCGTATCTCGGCCCCCAGATAAGCTAGAACCGTGGTTTGAACTGCAAAAAAGAGAATTAAATGTTCTGTGAGTTCTCATCGTGCGCAGCGAAGCAAACGCGCAAGCGCTTGTTGATGGCTATTGTCATTGTCGCATAACGCAGGCATTTGTGACTGATGTATTGTGGTGAAGTGTTTCACGACTTTTATTGCTACGGGCCATCCCTTCACTAAAGGGCTCGGTGTCGTTTTCAGTTAACACTCACCTCCCGTTTTTAATTCGTTTCTCAACGTTATTTCACATCCTTTCTCTGCGCACAGTTTTCGCTCGTGTTACTAGCCATCCCAGACAAAGAAACTCAAAAGAATACCCGGCAACTCTCACTCTCCAAAGTTAATCGGCGGGAGGACCCAGCAGCCGGCGACAATGAGCGCCGCAGCTCTTCGCCGGCCTCGTCCGCGGGCGCGCTCATGGTCGGCGGCGGGCCGCGCTCGCCGCCGCCGACCGCGCCGGCCGGCCAGCGGCGCCGGCGCCGCGACACCGCCAGAGAAAGGGAAAGTCACACCGCGACGCTCCCGCTCCAGCGGATGTCGATCGGCCAGCTGCCGGCACCTCCGCTGAAGGAGCGAGCTTCGCCCGCGTCGCCGAGGCGAGAGATGTCACGCCCGCGCGGTGGTGCAATGTGAGCTGGTTTGTTGGGGAAGAGAGGGCGGGACGTGTCGCGCGTGTCTCGCACAGCTGTTGCGGATTTTCAGGGCAACAGGTGACATCTCAGTTACCAAGCCAGGTAAAATTCCATCATCGGTTAGCATATGTCGCGGGAATTAACGTGGTATCCGGTGACTTGTCCGGTTTGTTTCGCAAAATAACGGCTGTCGTTTCGTCAGCACCACAGGTGGTAGGTATGGACAAATTTGAAGTACATCATGTACAGACTCTAGGCGCAACTTTTAAAGAAAACAGAGAAACTGTACACTTCGCTGTCAGTCCAATGTGCGTTGAGTACAGCCCGTCTGTGGAGGATCGCACGGACCAAAGACTATAAGTGGCTTATACATACATACATACACACATGTATATATATGCAACATAAATATATATATACATATATATATATATATATATATATATATATATATCAGCTGCTGACGACAATTGCATCTTATCTCCACCTCCTCTTGGGACGGCAAAGGGCCCCACAGACATCCGTTTTTAAGGTGCCCTCAGATGTGCCAGACCACGCCATGACATGTCACGCGCCCTGTCCGGAACGTTTGTCTCTCATTTGACACATTTTGCCTAGTGCAAACTTGTATGACCTGACCGATTGAAATTCAGAACTATGCAGAATCATGTTGACATGAGACGTGATAACGAAATAAAAGCAGCGCGGCGGTCGCTTATAATGCATATGTTATGCATACACCCGTCATCTTATGCAGATATTTTGATATCGCTATCTGACGCCTGAACGCAAAGCACGAGGACGTGACCTCATCAAAGAGGTTATTGCTTGTGACCTTTGCGAGATAGGGTGCTTGAAATGTCCACATAAGGTGAAAGAGATCAATAGCTGAAGCCTGGTAAATTTTGGCGCTTGCCTAGCGGTTCAAAAGTCACTGTAGAAAGGTACATGGCTCCACACTTCTTCATTTTGTCCCTGCCGCCTGCCGAGGGTTAAGGGGGCTCGCGGATGCGTGGAAAGTTACGACATAATTTTGGCTTCTCGGGTTGATGAGTTCAAGGTTTTTATGCTGAGTCAACGACCTTCCTTATACAGGAAACAAATGAAGGCTGCTAAAAATATGTTCCGTGCTGGGGTACGAGCGTTATTTTAAATCCATGGCCGCTCCTATCTTCGTACAACGTTACAGTTCTTCTCATCCCACGGCTGCTAAGAAAACGATGTTTATTCACCGACGCGAAGAGCAGTGCGGATGTATTTTGATCTTTCTATTCACAATCATGAGAGCGTAGTCTAACCAAACTGTTCTCCTTTCCCGTCAAAATGAGTACTCCGAACACAGAGTGAGGTATACTGCTTGTGCCGTGCATTCTCAATTCAACGCTGCAGACGGCTTTCGTAAAAGTTGTAAGAAGGCAAAGCAAGCACAATGTCTATGTGAAACTCCTTTTGATGGAGGACGAGCCAGGTAAGCAATTCACTGTCGCCGTGCGATCGGCGATATGCAGGGCTTTAGGGTAATGTAGACTAGTGATCCATACTACTACGATGCTAGTGCGACCAGGTCCATGCTAAGGCGATCACTGCCAGAAATCCCAACGTGCCCAGCTGGGAGGAGGATTTATTCTACATGTGCGAATGAACTGAAAGCTAAATGCATGCAGAACAACGTAGCATGCAAGATATCTTGTAACCTTTGCCTAGGGATATGCTATGGAAGAGAAACAAGATATAGCATTCATAACCGGCTTAACCGGCTACCTTGGAGACGCACGGTTACCGAGAGCGTTCACTCATGCACACCATTAGGAGACCACATGGTAGTTCGACATGCCATAATGGAGCATATGAGTATATGACCATATGAGCATATGAGCAACAAATACCAATTTTGGCTATACATTTCATCTACATTTATATTTAATTTATAATTTAATTATATACTTATCGTATGTAATATATAAACTATAATTATACACATTTAATGTATAATTGATAATGTAAGTTTTCTAAATTTATTATGCATTTTATCTAAGAACAATGCGGACCTCAAGGTCTTGGGATCACTGCATATTCGGGGTCTTCACCCCAGGCTGAACGTAAAAACTTTACCACGAGACCTGGCTCAGACAACCTTGTTAGATAATGCACGGTCCTGCAGTTTAATTAATGTCCGTGGTCCAGATGACCGCGGTAAGTAATTATTTTATTTAATAATTAGTGTGGTTTATTGCAATCTTCCAGATAAGCTGCCTGTGTTTTTTCAGCCCGTAACACAGAAATGTAAACATATGGAATGTTAGGAGCTTAGATGAATTGTCCTTTTTAAGATGCTTTAACGCCAGCGTCTTCACAGAAAAGGAACATTCTCTGGATTCATGCGTCTTGATCTTCAAGTGCAATGTTTTGCCTACCCGTTTAATCTTTCTCAACCCTTGTTAGTCTTGAGGATGAGCGCAGCTTCGAAATATTCATTACCGCCAACATAACCGTTGTTTATCTCCACAATGTCGTTTAACCAGTGTTCCCTGATATATCGAAAGTAGTTGACTCAACATATAACTCAAGAAACGGGGGAGTCACTCTTCATAGGCGCAAATTTTTGACAGATTTTCCATATCAACCAGGTTTTTACCACTTAATTTTAACATTTTGAACTGATGGATTTTGAGCTCAGAGCACTGATCAATGCTTGCGCGAACCCTCGCCCCACCATCCGAGTGTGAGATTCCCGTTCAACAGCGGGATTTTGTGGGGAAAATTGCATTTGCCGCAATGCTCGACAGGGCGTTAATGAACTTATGGGGTGTTATTAACTGTTCCACTAAACAATGATTAAAGCAGCATGGAAAGCCAATTTCCAACCAAAACAACTGCGTGGCAAAAGTAAGGACATCGCGTTCGCTAAAGGCAGGCGATTGCTGCACAAACAAAACGATGTAGGGCGAAAGTCACATTCTGGATATAGGACTTTCGAACTTTCCACGATACCTTTCAGAGATTTTCCTAGAAAGTTTTTTTTCTGCTTACTGCAAATTGGTATTAATTACCAAATCATCGAACTCATCGAATTTGTCATGTAATTCGGATGTTTCCATATGGTTTGCATTCAACATGGACCCAAAATATGTGCGAGCCGCCAAAGCGCTGCGCATGCCCCTGCACAAATGCTTAAATGCTCTTCTCATGTCGTCTTTTAAATATCACTTTTAAAGGTAGGTATTGGTGCGCTATAGTTACGCACTAGGTCGTTTAAGTGCGTTTATTTGTTTATCTATTCTTTATATCTAAATACCCTCTGAAATAATGTCTGTCGCAGATGGGATTTTTTCAGATCCCAGACTATTATTTCAGACATTTTGTAAGATTCCGCCGCCATCGGGTATTGCCTTGCTTGCTGCATATCGGTACTAGCCGAGATTTATCAAATTCAATAAATTTTAAGATGATATTTTGCCGTTCTCAGCTTGTTCGCCTTCAAGCATCACTTATCCCCGCGGAAAAAACTAACGCGTTGAACGCGTATCGCACATGAGCTTCTTAGTTATTAGGCTCCCTTTTGTCTCGTCCAAGAGCTCAAAGAAACGATAGTGATCGGGCACAAAATCATGGTAATTCTACGGGCATTTTAGACGTCAGCGTCTATTAAATGGGAGAAAGAGTAACAATAGGGAATAATTTATGACGGTCGTGTTCTAGTTTGTATTTTCACGGTGGAAAACAAAGCGGAAAAGCGGTAATATTCCAGGTGTTTTTGTTCTGTGGATTTAAAAGTGACTGCTTACTCAAAATCGTCCATTCTTTATACGAAACCGGATTAGACACCTATTTCATTGACACAATTCTTTAAACCGAGCACAAATTTTTCGGAACAAACTGTGAACCATTGCAGGCATAATCAAGCAGATTACCACGACATTTATGCCCTAGTGATGCACTGGCTTGTAACGGTCATGTAGTATTGCAATTCAAGCTGGGACGACGAAGTCTAGTGACGAGTGCTTATGCTTCGTGGAACAAAATTACTGTTTAAAACATCCCTAGCACAAGAGGCAACATTTCACGATTAGCAGGCACATAAATGTAAACGAGCCAGTGAATTTTGGTGAATTGCTCATTTATCATGTTCTGCGCGAAAGGTGTTGTCCTGATGAACCATACATACATCTCAGAATCTACTTGTAGTTTTCCCGCTACGTCTCATTGAATGGTAATAACCATTCGAGAACCTTTGATTTGACTCGCGTTGCATTGCAACGAACACAGCAGCATGCATGAATCATGTTTTCACGTATATCTTTCGGCTCGACGACCAATCATGTCAACTTACAGCTAGCCAAAGGCACCGATAACGTGCGGGTCGACTATCTAAGTTCCCAACAGGCTGCCGGGTCGGCATGATAATAGCTGTCCGGATGGTAGCACTACACAACACAAGAATTCCCTCCGCTGTTCCACGCAGTCTAGCCGGACCAAAAGCGGCTGGTCAGATTATCCAAGGTTAACTGAATATGCTACTGCATTACGTAGTGCATGAGCACGGCGCAGTAACTGCAACTTTCTGCCCATTCAACCGGCCCACTAGGCCTCAGGCTGGCATTCGTCAGCCTCTCAGGGAATCTCCTAAACAGGGCGTTGCTAACGGGCCGCATTTCTCATCCCGCTCCGTTACCGTCGTGTCCCGAACTCTTCCCGCAGTGGCCGGCGCCGCGCCGTATATAAGGCGGCCGGCCGGCGTCGGCACCAGCTCAGTGTCAGGCCGACAGCCCAGTGAGATCATGAGAGCCCTGCTGCTTTTGTGCGCGGTACGTGACTCTCGCGGAGACCTACCGGCGTGACGGGCCGTGTGACTGTGCTCCGCCCCCGGGCGGAGGCCGGCCTGGTTACCGAGTGTTCGCCTCGTGGGCCACTGCCGGCTCTGGTGATGCTGGCTTCCGTCGATACCGGGGTTGGGGATCCCGGCTTCTGTTGACACCGGGTTTGGGGATCCCGGCTTCCGCTGGCATCGGGTATGGTGATCTGGTCTCCGTCGATACCGGGTTTGGGGATCCCGGCTTCTGTTGACACCGGGTTTGGGGATCCCGGTTTCTGCTGGCGTCGGGTATGGTAATGCTGGCTTCCGTTTAAAAAGACGGCTTTTGTTGCCCGTCACGCGTGTGGTCTGTGTTCAGGACGACGGCTCTCAGCTCTGATGCTCAAGTGCCACGTGTCTGTGGCAGATGCGTGGGCACGCTCGAAAACCATAGTTGTTTGTCTGACCTGAGCTAACGACTAAGTAAATGCCCGTTTTTCACCTGGCTGCCTTTTAACCAAGAAAGCAATGCGTGATACCGTTTCAGTTGGCTGCGACAGGTTTGACGCACAACCCCCGTCGGAGACCCACGATTTGTGACCCCGTTTCTGACGGTAACCGCCCACTTGTCGCGGCTTCGTCCCTGACAGCGGAAGGCCTGCCCGGTTGCAGGTGATCGGCGTGTGCGTCTCCGGTGCCTACGGCGCCAGGCGCAGGTTCGGCGCAGGACCTCCGCGGCCTGTCCAGAGGAGGGTGAGTGCAATGTGTGGGTGACCCCGGTGCAGCGCACCGGAGAAACTTCACTGGAATAACAAAATTATGGATTCCACGTAAGCGCATGGCATTCACATCTTGAATTGTTATTGCTAGTGAGGTTTTACTTCGGCTAACGTTGATCCCAGCTATTTAAGTTGCTAATTTCTTATGTTTTGAAACAAAACCACCGCGCAGCCCAAAATCGCGCATTACGCACGTCACAATCGATGTCTGTTCATCAACATTTAACACTTCCTTTGGACATATGGAGCACTCATATGATCCGGCACTCGCGGAAAGCCTTGCGAACCGATGACACCACCCCGTTCTCCGCAGCCAAGCGGCTGGCGGGAGTTCCAGCCCAACGAGCGGCTGGACTTCCAGCCGGAATTCCGGCGTTCGGCGCCGCGGGAGCAGCTGCGCCTGGCGCCGCAGGAGCCGTTCCGTCTGGCGCCACGGGAGCAGCCGCGCCAGGAGCCGGCGGCGCCCGTCGCTGACGACTGGCCGGTGCGGGGCCCGGTCGTGGAGGAACGCGAGGACCCGGCGCCGGAGCCGCTGCAGCCGCTGGAGCCGCTGGAGCCGCAGCGCTCCGAGTTCGCGCCCGCCTACAGCGAACCGGAGGTGAGCCGGCCGGACCGCGGACGGGCCGAGTGCGGGGCGAGTCTTCAGGGCACAGCGGCCTGGCCTGGCTGGGCCTGACATGCGACGCGTGGTGTGACGGCTGCTGCGGCAGGAGCGGGTGGGCCTGCAGCAGATCGAAGTTTCGAGACAAACTCCCCCTGTGTTTGAAGGGATCCGAGCCCATTAATATTTCAGGCCTTTAACATGGGTCTTTGGGGATTACGTAAGAACACTTGACTTCAAAGCCGAATGTGCAGCGCACACCCCGCTACAGCAGCTTTGAGAATGTTCCATCGGGTTCATGGCTGTTTTATGCAGTCGTTGACAGTCCCGGCGCAGGCTGGTTTCGAGCTGGCATCCCGAGCGGTTTGTGCCGTGCGATCAAGTATTGCAACTGACTGACGGAGGCGCGACGGGTGCCTACTGCGCTGCGCTGACTTCCGACAATCCAACATGCGTTTATTCGCTTGCCACGCCAGTGACCACTATACCGGCCGCTGACTGCGGCGTTCTGTGGCGCAGGCGGCCGCCGACAGTGCGCCGGAGCAGTACTCCATCACGATACCGGAGAAGACGGAGAAAAACCGGCTGGAGTTCCAGGTGCACGGCCAGCAGGGCCCTCACAGCTACCGCTTCGGCTACGACACCGGCAGCGGGTGAGTAGCAAGGGAGCCGGGTCAGGTTGGGTCAGGTCAGGCCCGGGCAGGTCTGAGGGAGGTAAGATGTGGGCTGGGTCAGGCTTGAATCAGGCCACATCTGAGCATGGCTGGGGCAGGTCAGGTCAGTGGCAGGCCTAGTCTGGAGCAGGTCAGGTCTGGGCAGATATGGGGCAGGTGATCCAGGGCTGTCTGGCGGACCGACGGAGCCTCCTGTGCCGATGCACAGGTCGCGGGTCAGATCCACGCGCCGTAATACGCCCGCTGCGTTAACGTTTGCCGCCAATAGTGGAAATTGCGGCGTGGCATGGCTCAAACAGGCTGATCGAATAAGCTACGCCACACCCGGAATGTGTCACAGCCCACGGGCGTGGTGACATTTTACAGGTTGCGTTGAGAAACTCCTCTCTTTGGGTAAATTGATCGATCGAATTCTTTCGAGTTTTGCACACACGTCACAGACGGCAACGGCAGTCCAACGTCATCCAATGAGATGCATGAAAGTTGCTGTCTGCCTATCTGACCGGCTCGACCGTCCAGTGGCCCATGACGCCGGCAGGGCGGCGCAGTAAGGTGCAGCCATGCGTTGCACGTCCCCGGTTCCCAGTAGCCGTCAGGAGAGTCGGCAGGTGTGTGTCTGGGGATGGGGATGTGATGATGGTGGTGCTGGAGATGGGCACCAGAGTCCAATCACGGCATGCAGCGGGGCCTGGCTCAGATCAAGTGCCTTAGGATTTTACCAAGCCTGCAACGGCTCATCACCGGCTCCGTGCAGCCTGCAGCGTTTTCACTCTCTGAAGCAGGCTGCCGATATCACGTGTCGTCCTGTTTTCACCGCCGCCCATTTTAGAAAACGAAGTGCTGTTAACCCGCGCAGTATGAGAGGGGGCGCCTGTTCCCACCCTCCGTCGCGGTTAAATTCCGCACATTACATTTATCAGCGGGAGGCCGTCGGACCGCTTCGCTGGTACACTGGCCATTAGCCAACCGGCGAAAGCTCGTCGGTCACCCATCCGTGACATTGGTTCGGCTCTCGTGGACCGCGCCAGGCGTCGGCTACCCGAGAGCGACCCCACCCCTCGCGCCGCCCGTGGAGCAGGCTTTCAGCATTTCGAGGCCTGAGTGCCTGGAGTGAGAGCTGAGTAAGTGCCACACCCCACCGATGAGTTGTATGCCTTTTTCAAACCCCGGTTAGCAGAACAGACGGACACCCACGGCGCAAGGGAGGTACATTTCATGGTCAGTTGATGGGAATCATAATGCTGTCCCTGCGGCTCTCAAACGACCGCCGCAGCTTCACTGTTCGCGTTTCGCTAAATGACTCGAGGCGCCGGCCCCACCCGTGCTGGCCGAGCCCGGCCAGACGTCGGACTGGGCGACGACAGGAATCTGCGCGCCTGAGCCCCCACTCAGTCAGGGCTGTCACGCGTGTGACTCCGCCTCCGGACAGCGCGTCTCGGCGTCGCGGCCGAGTGCGCGCGCACCCGTGACTCCGTCGCACTGACACCGATTCGCCAAGCCGCGCCGTCACACCGGGCCGAGTGCGGCAGATGCGGGAGCAGGAGAATAGGTCGTGGCTGTTAGTGGACGCCCGCAAACAGACGGCTAAGCTCTAAGCCGCTTTAGGGTGCAACTATGCAGTTCCAGTGAACACTGCACAGATCATGTTCGATTGCATTTGGGTAAGTGAGGTGGCTCGCATCTCGAAGAAAGTGCATTGGCAGGCTTGTAAAACAGTCACTGAAACCCCACTAAAAGAATCCTCGAATGGCCGGCGTAAGCGGTCTGATCTTAAGATCGATCCTTTCTCTCGTTGCGCACCGATGCTAACTGGACATGGATTACTTATCGCTAGCTGCCACATGTGGGCTCCACCACGGGTCAAGATTGGGTGAGGCCATCCAAGTGCTTCTTTTCGTGCAACGCCCAAGCAGGCGTGATTCTGCTTCCTGTTGTGCCATATCCCCTTTACCCCCCCCCCCCCCCCGCCTCCCTTCGTGGCGAAGCCCAAATCGCTGGCTCGCCCCAACTTGGTCTGACTGGTCCTCGATACCTCCGGGTGTACACGATCTGGCCGGGTCTAGAAGACTCAGCCAGGCCCATCTAGACCTCGTGTCTGCACCGCCGCGACGCTCCAAGACCATTGCCCCCCCCCCCCCCTCCCCTCGTGATGACGTGACCACCGGATCACTTCATCCACCGCTGACGCCCGGCCACTCCCGTCGGCTTCTCGCGTTCCGTCGCCGCCGGCGCCGAACGCCGCGCGCCAGCTGTCTGCTCTCTCGCGGCGCTCGCCGAGCCGCGACGCCGTGCCCGCCGGCGGCGCCGGGGGCCGCCCAGCGCCCGGGGCAGCGCCAGGCGCCGGCTGCGCCACTTTCGCGGCGCGGGCGGCGGTCAGCGGCGGCGCGCCAGATGCGCCGCTCAGTGACGGGTGGGGGCTCGGAGTGGGAATCACCCCCTCTGAAGCAACTGGGGCCAGCCGGGCGCCAGCTTGGCGAGGGGGAGAATGTGAAAGCGAATGGCGAAGCCATCAGCCAGACTGGGCCTCTTGCAAAACGCCTTTCCTATGAGGGAAGTTAGCCTGTGGCCGAGTGCCACAGATTCGATTTGTTTGGCACGCGGTGCCGGTGATCGAATCTGGCCAGTGGCCGAACGCTCCCTGGTGGTGTTTCGTAACGTACATGAAGGACGTTGGCGTCCATTTCGTACCGCGCAAGGGTGTGGTAAACCTCCATCCGATCCCATCCGGGCTTGGATGTACGCCGAGGCCGGATGTAAGAGATGATGTTGTGGTCTAGTCTCTGGTAGATTACACTCATTTGCCTCTTGCATTTCTCAGCGGTTCTAGTCCCTCAGCATAATGCCTATAACGTCTTTATTTTAAGCACGGAAAGATGAATCCCATCCGAAGTATGCACGCCACTTGTAGTCACCACCATCCATCGCATACACTATTGCTTACACCATTGCTCATTGCTCACGCTATTGCATACTTGGGTACATCACATGTCAATATCGCCTTTGATCGCGAGCGAGATGTCGATGCAGGGCAGGGAACCAGGCGATCCTGCAGGGAACCTATGATTCGTGACTGACGTCTTCAACAGCCGCTTGTAACATATGTGGCCTATTCCAGCTACAATCGGCAGTTCCGCTTCGAGGAGCGGGACAGCAAAGGTAACCTCAAGGGACGCTACGGCTTCTACGATAAGGACGGCAAGCTGCAGGTGGTCAACTACTCGGCCACCCACGAGGGCGGGTTCGTTGCCGAGGGTGACTTCGGGAAGTTCCCCGTCAGTGATCATTAGTGATCGCCTCCTCACTATGGAAAAGGCCGCCTCAGGTACCGAGACAGATAGTAAGACTGCGAAGGCACCATTGAGACACTGAAGCGTCGCAGGGTCTCTAACAGACAACACTGAAGTGTCGCAGGGTCTCTAACAGACAACACCGAAGTGTCGCAGGGTCTCTACCAGACAACCAGCGGGTGTAAAGCATTGTATCAACTTCAGCGTGCCGTAGTGTTCGTTTGGACATGGCACGGCTCTATATGTTGCTACCTCCCATACTGACATAGGAGCATTCATCACCTGCTACTCTGCGCTGGTCTGGCCCTGCTCCGCTCACCAACCTGGCACAGCACGCTGACTTCTTCCGCACTGGCGCCGGGACGTCTCTACTTTCCTCGACATATTCAATTACGCGAGTTCTTCCATTTCTGACTTTGTAAAAGTTGTGAACTTGTCCGCTAACGTACCCAGCTGACACGCCATCTTTCCTTCTCACACCGCAAGACCGGAGTCTCGGTTCCCTGCGTTCGACCTTACCAACACCGCAGCTGGGCTATGCTTCCCTGCACAGTTCTCTCACGCTACCCTGTCATATTCCGGACGACACGAATGGTTTTGTTGACATCTCAGACACCTTGCGAGGATATCCGCCCCGGATGGTTCCCCGCCGGCTCCGAACGACACGGTTCGTGTCTCCTCACCCCTGTCGGGATGCCATCCCCTGGCAGGATCTCGGCCTCTCTCCCACGGCGGCTTCAGCAATCTCCAAGCCGCCTGATCCCCCTGCGGGCCAGCTGCCAGAAACAAGTCAAGCCGAGTGTGAAAGACCGATGGTGTGTTGTTATTTGTTAGCGTTGGAGGTGCAGTGTTACGCCTTGCGTGAATACATTTGCTAATGTGTACATCTGTCTCTTTGTCTTTTTTGCCGAGTCCCATTTGTTATCAAGATGCTACAAGACCGCGTAACAATCCTGTGGTTATCTGCCGATGCGCATGTTTGCTAAAGTAATTCAATGGCTTGCAGCCTACTCCCTAATGTGCCTCGAGCAGACCGTACACAGCGTTGCGCTCTATCACAATTGTATTCACGTGGAAACTCGCTGACAAGCATTGACTATGGGGTACCTCTAGGTCACATTCAGCACACGAGGGCTGAAGCCACGCATCGGGCACACAGAGGCGTAGGCGCACCACGAGGCTTGCCGGACAGGATCATAGGGGTACAGCGGGCCTGTGAGAGCGCAGGAAAAACACAATCCGCCTCCAGAAACACCGTCAGACGCCGCTAGTGCCAACCGAGGGTCGAGACCATCGCCAGGAAAGCTCGCGCTGCAGGACCAGAGCGGAACGACGAGAGTGCGAGAGCGCGACAGCTAAGCAAAACCGCACGCCCCGCTAGCGTGGGTTCAACAAGCAAACAAGCGAGACCAACAGTGGTCCCAGAACGCAGTGCATTTTAACAGTGTAGGTCAGGCAAGAATGCGCATGGTGCGGCCCTCACGCGGGATAGCGGGGCGTAAGGGAAGTGTCAATCGTCAGCATCAAGTACATCACACCGACCCGTCATGTGTCAACAGCCCCTCCAACGAGCCGCAGGCTGGAGGGCTCTCCTCCAAACACACAGTACCCAAAACGCATCAGCAGCTCCCCACTGCGCGAACACGACGGCCCTCATCGTCGGCGCTCCGACCGTGCACGCTCTCGCGTCGGCAGACCCGTCAGACCCAGCACATGAGCAGGCACAAGCCGGCGACCAGCGCGCGCTCCCACCCCACAACCATCAGCATACCACGCTGAGCACCGTGAGACTGGGCGGTGGTCACTCCACATCGGCGACGCATGGCATGCGGCAGGAATGGTCACCTCTGGGTGAGCAACACTGGCTATATTTTGATGACGGTCAACTCCCTGAAAGTTGAAGCTTTTTGATGGATGCTTCTCTTTATCGATTTATCAACATTTCGAAGCACTCCAATAACATCCCTTAGTGGCTACCTCACCGCGCTTCAGGGCATCAGCTTTGTAAAGAGGAAATATTCTATCATGCATTTTAACACATTTATGAATCGTATTTTATTCAAGGTTACGGAACAAGCTATAAAGTGTATGGACTCGCTCCGCTTCTTCGCCCCCAAGAGGATGTATGCGGACCGGCAGTTCAAAGTGTACCCTAACTATGCTCGCCAAAACTAAGACCCAAATTGTAACCGTCATTGCATGCTATCAAGGCTTCAAGCAACTCAGCCTCTAGTGAATGTTAACATGACTGAAAATCACTAAGAGCTAAGGGATTCCTCCTGGATTGAAAAAAAATGTATGGCGTTGATGAACCTTCTGGAAAGAAAGATATCCAGACATCTATTTTAAAAGATTGCCGACACTTTATGGAACTGCAAGCATTTCCTATCCAAAGGCAGACTGGACAATACAAAGGTGAATTGATTTCACGTAATCCCAGTCTGGACAAGACAAAGATGAACTGATTTCATATAATATCAGAATGCATCCGTACGTCAAATGATGAAACCTGCCACATGGGACTTCCAGGCAGCGACAAAAACCACCAGCACGAAACGCGCACCCTGTGGTCACCGGTAAGGGGGACAACTTCAGGTCAAAGAGCAGTCACAGGGCAACATTATGATAGCGCGTTAGGACCAGCCAGCCATACAATATGCAATCACAGAACATGGGGCCGTTTTCGTGAAGCGCGATTTCGTTCCAGACGCCTTTAATCGTACATGTTAATTCTGTAATGCCTCTGCTTCATTTGATGCTTACCTACGTAACAAATGAGACACATAAGTGACACGTGCCATAACACCAGCAACCAATACAACACACAGCTCTGCTGAGCCCCGGAAACAAGGCGCTTCGCCGAACAGCACCGCCCGCGGGCGGTTTGTACAGTGAAGCGATCACACGGTGCCGGCGAACCCGGCCCCAGCCAGCCGCGGGCGTCGGCGAGGCGGCCGCCCGGCCGGGAGCGCTCGTCCGGCCGCTCAGCGCGGCTTCAACCCGCCGAGGCCGAACCCGGCGCCAGCCGGCCGCGGGCGTCGGCGTGGCGGGCCGCCCGGCCGGGAGCGCTCGTCCGGCCGCTCAGCGCGGCTTCACCCGCCGAGGCCGAGCCCGGCGACGCGCCGTTCGGGGGTCAGCTGTCAGCAGCGCGGGTCTCTGCGCGCTGGCGCGCGCCCGCCCGGCGCTTGGCGCGCCATGTCCGCCCGCTGGCTGCGCCGGCGGCTACGTGACCCAGGTCTCGGCGACGCGCGGCCGCTTGTGCAGCGGAGCGGCGTCACTCTCCAGGGCCGGCTCCGACAGGGCGTGGCTGAAGCCGGCCGGCCCCGGCCGACGCCCCGGCGGTGGCGCGCCTGCGGGACGGAGTCACGGGTCAGGGTGGGATGGTACGCCTGTGGGGAGGAGTCACGGGTCACGGTGGGATAGTACGCCTGTGGGGAGGAGTCACGGGTCACGGTGGGATAGTACGCCTGTGGGGAGGAGTCACGGGTCACGGTGGGACGGTACGCCTGTGGGGAGGAGCCACGGGTCACGGTGGGATAGTACGCCTGTGGGGAGGAGTCACGGGTCAGGATGGGACGGTACGCCTGTGGGGAGGAGTCACGGGTCACGGTGGGACGGTACGCCTGTGGAAGGAGTCACGGGTCAGGGTAGGATGGTACGCCTGTGGGGAGGAGTCACGGGTCACGGGTGGGATGGTACGCCTGTGGGGAGGAGTCACGGGTCAGGGTGGGATGGTACGCCTGTGGACGGAGTCACGGGTCAGGGTAGAACGGTACACCTGTGGGGAGGAGTCACGGGTCAGGGTGGGATGGTACGCCTGTGGGGAGGAGTCACGGGTCAGGGTGGGATGGTACGCCTGCAGACGGAGTCACGGGTCAGGGTAGGACGGTACACTTGTGGGGAGGAGTCACGGGTCAGGGTGGGACGGCACGCCTGTGGAGCGGGACGGCGGGTCGGTATGGGACGCGAGGGTGTTGCGGAATACAGCATTAGATGGGAGCAGGCGACTCCGTCAGCGACACATAACGTCGACAGAAAAGGAAATGAAACAGCTGTGATGGCTGACAGTTACAACAGAGCCAGCGATACATTCGGCAGTGATGCATTCAGCGCCGATATATTTACGAGAATGCACAGTGCCCTAGCACCACGTAATTCGATTTTTACGACGGAATGATACTTGAGATAATATTATATCCAGCTGATCGTGTGTGACCCCACCATTCCAGGGTACCGTGAGGGGTTGACACCAGCGTCCCAGATCTCAGTGACTGTGACCAGTGCAGAGGGACCGTGATACAGGTACCTCATGTGCAATGGCCGTGATACAAGTACCGCAGGTACAGTGGCCGTGGTGCAAGTACCTCAGGAGCAGTGACCATGGTACAGGTACCTTAGACACAGTGGCCGTGGTACAGGTACCTCATGTACAGCGGCCGTGGTGCAGGTGCCTCATGTGCAATGGCTGTGATACAAGTACCGCAGGTACAGTGGCAGTGGTGCGAGTACCTCAGGAGCTGTGACCATGGTACAGGCACCATGGGTACAGTGGCCGTGGTACAGGTACCTCCCATACAGTGGCCGCGTGTGTGATAACGCTCCCTCCAGGTTTCAGTGAGACAGCGTGACACCCCAGGCAGAAACGTGACCGCGCACGCCGCCACTGACCGAGCGCGGCTGCTGGCGGCGAGTGTCCGGCGGGCGCGGGCCTCAGGTGCTGGTGGCCGCAGGCGCCGTGCCGCTCCCTGGAGAGCGGAGACGTCCGCTCCTCCTTGGCCAGGCGCAGCGGGCGCCTCTCGGCCTCCGGCGGCGGCGACACGGACAGGTGCGGCAGGCTGGGGCACGAGAGGGCCGCCGGTCAGCGCCGCGCCGGGGCGCGCCACCACGCGCGGATCAGGGCGGCAGAAGCACATCGAGCGTTGAGTGACTCGGGCTGAAGTGAACCCACGTCGCCAGACAGCAAGGCCTGAAACGAGACTCGCCGCAACAACAGATCCCAGGAGGTTCAGTCCAGCAGTGATCCGGTACACCAGGGCCAGCTTTGCAGCAGATGGCCCGAGAAGGAGCAGCGTTAGTCTCACCGCCGGCCGGCACTCACCCGTGGTGCGCGTGTGACAGGTGAGAGGTGAAGGCCTGCAGGGTGACGGGACCAGGTCGCCACGGCTGCGGGATGGCCAGGCCGCCGGGCGGCGGTGGCTCGCGGCCGGCCAGCTCCGCCCCGCCGCAGAAGCCGTATTCGGCGGACGCCATGCTACCGCCGACAACGGAGCGCGACACCTGGTGGAGAAACGGACAAACTGAGCTTCGAAGATCGATCGGTACACGGCACGAGTCTGTCGAAGGCCCTTCGTCCCAATGTCGTGCGCCGCTGCAGAGGACGATGGAAGAACCTCAGACACTGAGCAAAACAGTGATGATTAAATCAACCAATCAGTAACCTTTCCCAGTCGCGTGAGGTCAACCCCGCCCCCTCTTCTCCCCACACCCTACGTTTCACTGCCCTTGATCATGAAAGCCAGGAGTAATGTGAATATGCAAGCTCATCAGCTACCTTCAGTCTTGTACAACGTGTCCTTGAAATCACTCAAGACTAATCCCACCATCGCAGGATGGGATAGACAGTGCGACCACCCCAGCTGGGAGTGGCCGGGAGTGGCAGCCAGTGACCAGGGACGTACGGTGGCCGGCGGCGCCTGGTGCTGCGGGCCCGGCGACACGGCCGGGTCGGGTGACGAGCCGGCCGCAGGGTAGCCCACCGGCGACTCCCGCAGACCTGCACGCCAGAGCGCGGTCAGCGGTGGGTCAGCGGCGGGTCAGAGGCGCCATCACTCAGAGACAGGGGAGGGCTGGGTCGGCGGTGGGGAAATGTTCCGCGCCTGGGCAACGGTGGCTCACCGGCGGGGATGGGTGTGTACGTGACGGAGCGGAGTGTCGTGGCAGGGGGGGGGGGGGCGTGGCGGGGAGGGCAGACGAGGATTAATGACAGGGGGAGGAGGGCCAATGTCACGAGGCCCGCGGTGGGGAACGGTGCCCACCAGCGAGGAGCGAGGGTCAGCAGCGATGACGGGCGGGTCAAGGACTTGACAGTAGAGGGTCAGCGACCTCGGCCCAGGTGGTATCGAGCCCACTTACGCGGCAGTTCGATACCGCTTCAGCATGCAACCGTCGGCGCAGCTGGAAGGCCCGAATGGCCGCCTAAACAGTCACACGACTGACATCCCTGGAAAAGGTCGGCTGCGATGGCACGGGCAGCGGTGGGGGTTGCGGGTTGGGGAGGGGGGTTGGACAGGGTCGGCCGTGAACCTGAGCCTGGCCTACGTCAGACAGTGGAGCGGTCAGAAAGAAGACTGAGCCTGCACAGCGTTGGTGAGAACCTGACAAGGATAGCTGATGGTAATTCGCGGGTGGACCGGATCTGAGCAGAACTGACAGCGGTCTGAAATCTCAATAGTTCAGTCCGAACAAAATAAGCAATAAAGGATAACGCCCTGACTGCGTCATGCTATAACATGAAAACAGTCAATTTGTGTATAAATTAAGCGAGTAGCTGTTTCGCGATACTAAATCGCATTCATTCAGGACCCAGATGGGCGTTTTGAGCGGGTTGAAATCGTGTTCCACTGCCTACGTGCGTTTAAAATAGGACCTCTAGAATAATAAGGCTGCATACAAATCGGATATCTCCCAAACATTGGTTGACCAGCGACTAAGAATCGGCGAAGTCGGGAGTTTAGGGTTAACGCATGTTAGCTTGTCTGCAGTTCAGATGTAAGACCATGGTTTGCTAGCAGCGACGAAAGCTTCTGTGCAGCACTGCACGCAAAACGGGAGCATTAAATCGCTTTCAACGGAGACAACTAGACCTTAATGAGAGCTCTCAACGGCTATTCTGGACATTACAGTTATGACAGTCGCCAACAGCAGACGCGCATACACTCGCCCTCCCCCATGCCGGTGCTGACCCCACCGACACGCAAACGCACCCTGTGTTGACCCCAGCCGGGGGCTCAGCGGATGCTGCTGTGTCGGCCGCGGGCTCAGCGCGTGCTGCTGCTGCTGCAGTGACCGCGGGCTCAGAGTATGCTGCTGCTGCTGCTGCTGCTGCTGTTGCTGCTGCTGCATCGGACGCGGGTTCAGTGTGTGCTGCTGCTGCTGTTGCTGCTGCGTCGGCCGCGGGCTGATGGCGTGCTGTTGCTGCTGCTGCGTCGGCCGCGGGCTCAGAGCATGCTGCTGTTGCTGCTGCTGCGTCGGCCGCGGGCTCAGAGCATGCTGCTGCTGCTGCTGCTGCGTCGGCCGCGGGCTGATAGCGTGCTGCGAAGGCGGCGAGGCCCGCGCCAGACCGCCGCAGCCGGAGCCACTCTCGGAGACGGACGCGTACTGGCCGTCCTCGCTCAGCGCGTAGCCACCGGGACTGGAGTCCGCCTGCGGGCGTAGGTCAGACCGATCAGTGCGCTGGCCCGGCACCGCCGGCCGCACGGACTCTGCAGACTGTAGCCCAGAGTCAGCCCACTCTGGCCGGCTGACCGGGGGACTGGCGCGGCACAAGGAGTCCAGCTCACGGAGTCCGCCGCACGGACTCTGCAGACTGCAGCCCAGAGCCAGCCCACTCTGGCCGGCTGACCGGGGGGCTGGCGGGGCACAAGGAGTCCAGCTCACGGAGTCCGAGCGCGAGCTCTCCAGACTGCAGCCCAGTCAGCCCACTCTGGCCGGCTGACTGGGGGGCTGGCGCAGCACAAGGAGTCCAGTTCACGGAGTCCGCCGCACGAGCTCTGCACGACTGCGCATGTTTCTACGCACCGCTAACGGTTAACGCATAAGACCATCACGTCATTGGCACACATCACAGATCGCCTATGTCACGTGCAACACGCTTATGCGTAGCGCGATACATGGCGATTCTCCAGCGGTGTTTTTACGACGCCTGTGCAACATTTTGTCGATGGTACTATTCGTTCCAAGGCTAACTGTGAACAGTAACAAGCTAAGAGTAACTATTCCGACTCGTTTTTCAAAACAACTCCCCGGGCCTAATTTGAGATGGGGAGCATTCCACAGCCGTCTGCGCACATGTTCACCAGTCCCATAAACACCCGAATGACGTCATGCGGCCGGTGCTGCTGCTGGAAACCGATCGCCACCCAAACAGTCCCGCCCGGCGACGTCGCCCTTGTCGCCCTATGCTCTAAGCCACCAGGCCTTGTGGATCTGCGACGCCAGACTCGTGACGTCACTGCGGGCCGCAGCCCAGAGCCATGGCGAGTAGGACACGAGCGCAGCGCGGCGGTGACGTCACACGACCAGATCGTGTCGTGACGGATGATCCGCCAGTGGAACTGACGCAGACAACAAACTATAGGATCTAATCCGGACAGGTCTGTGACGTCACAGCAGCACTTTTACAAGATCAGAACTGCGGCCGCAAGCCGCTCCGATGCTATCCAAACAACACAATGACGTCACACTGCCCAAGCGATGACGCGCGTGGGCAGGTGTTTGACCACGGCATGGGAGTGACGTCGATAGACCACGAATTGGTCGCGCTGCTTGGCCCGATGGATGACGTCCTCTGTCAGGCAAGACCGCCAGGAAGGCCCAAAGTACTTTCTCAAGTGTCCTTATAAACTTCCCCAAAAGTTTACCTCTTCCAGAGAAAATCACGGATAAAAGTGCTAAATCAGGTTTTCATATCCCAACAAACCAGAGCACATGGGTGTGGAGTCTGATACCTGGCTTATCTCTGGTTTATTCCATATACTCGTCTCCAGGTTTGGAACTGACCTTATATTTCATGTGGATGTCTATTGAGCTTTGGCCATACGGACCGCGCGGTACCGTGCAACTGCAGTGCCTAATGGCTAACAGTTTTCTGCCTCGAGTAATGACATTGAGTGCCATTCCTGATCTGGTACGATTATAGACAGGGACCTAAGATCTCTATGTATGATCTCTACGTGAGTGCCACTCACCTTGCTGTAATACAAATTGCAATTGATCCTAGTTGTCTCAAATCCCGGGAGAAGTTCGGGACTTCAGGGAGCGTCATAGCCTACGGCACACCAGTAGTACGAAAAAGGTACATCACAGCAAGATATTACTATTGGACTGCTTGCTGCAAAGAACTGTGTCATCTGCTGTCTTATAAGTCGCTGCATCATACGTTGTTTCCCGTTACTTTTTATGGCGCATCAGAAGTTGGTTCATGGACATGGGTCAAACGTGGACTGATTTTGAAGCATAAGGTTTGCCTGCGGACTCTGTCAGGGATATCTGTCGTTTCCTGTCCTCATCTTCCACCTGTCTCGGACACAGACACGGACGAGGGGCGTATATCTAAAACCACGATTGCAGCAGTCACCAGCATCGGTCAGTAAACTACCGCTGTCAGCCTGCAGGTGCCGCAGCCACTCCAGCTTCCCAGAGTTAGCTTCTTCATGACGAAGGCTCGGCTGTTTGGCCGAGCCGCCTCCTTCGCTCCAGGATCAATACTGACGCCGTGGCCGACCAGTTTGGCTGACGGCTTTGGACGCCAGACCAGTGCCTACACTCATTTGGAGTAGTCATGGATCAATGCAGCCCTGAGTCGGACCGTATGGCTGTGCCTACACAGCTGCCATAAATGACTCGCCGACTCGTCTCACTCATGAATGACGCAACTCGACATCTCCAGTCAAATTAAGCTGCCTTCGCCTTTTGCATTTAAATAGTGTGGTTCAAAAGTGCGTAGCTCCGTGGTTTGTGTCATGAGACCTGGCCCGGAATCCACAGATAAACGAACGCCACACTGTCGCCTGCCACAGTGGTACGAGCCAGGCGTCACGAGACACATGCCAGCCCAGCGACGGACACGGGCCGCAAGAACCCGACCTGCCCTGTTTGCGGCTGGCGCGACTGAACAATTACCGTAATTTTGCTTCACAGCTACTACAAACGCCCAGCGCAGCAAGCGATCCGAACCAAAGATTGGCCGCGGAGAGTGTCGCGGGCCGAGGCTAAAGTCGTTCCAGATAAGATAGCGCCAGTTCAATCAGTTATTGCTGACTGCCACCGTTCAACGCTCGACGTCGTAAGAGGCACATCTTCCCCGCCTTTGAACGTTATAGCCCAGGGTACACATAACAGTCACAGGGCGTGTGCGTATCGGAGGTGGCCGCCGCACCCCGTCATAGCGCGTGCTTGCACTGGACGCGGTCACCACACTGCGTCACATGGCAGGCGTCACAGTCCGTCTGTGATACAAACATTTAACTCCCGCCGGGTTATTGAGAGCGCGCCAAAGCGCGGCTTATTCAGATAGAACCTTACACGAAAGCCACCGCACCTACATGGCGAGCCGGACTTGGCGCCGCGGCTCATCCGAGAAAAGTGGCTTAGCGTGTTTAGCCTTCGAAGAGGCACAGGGGCGGAGAACTCCACCCCCTCTGATCACTGGTCAGGACGCCGACACTTTCGCATAAAGCGGCGGAAATTCACATTTCGCAAAAGCGCGGCGCTTTGTCGATTAATTCCCAAATGTGGTCTACCTATCGTAAAAATCGCAAGATCCAGCACAAGGCAAGCGTCGCTGGACATCGTCTCCGCCTGACACAGTCCAAACGCGCACGCCACCGCCGGGCTACCGTGACCGCAGCGGTCGTTCGCCAAGCGGTCGTTCGGAGCGGGAAAAGAGCCCGCACTGCGGCCGATGGCCGCCGACGGGCCGCCGCAGACACCGCTCACAAAACGGTACACCGGCTCCCGTCCGCCCACGTCGCCGCCAGCGGGAGACCAGCGTAGGCACCTGCTCTCGGCCGCACAACCCGTCAGCAACGACTCGTGATGTCGTCGTGACGCCGTCTCCCTCCCCCGTCCCCCTGCCCCCAAGAAACTTGAGCGGATAAGCCGGCGCTCTCCGTCATCTGTCTGCCGGCCAAGCCCAGTCGGTGGCGGCACCCCGACCGCCCGGTCCGGGACACCACCTTTTCAGGGTCGCTTACCGAACGTGTACATGTCACGTCCGCTTCACATCCGGTGGATATCCGAGGCGGGTCCGGGACGCCCCCCCCCCCTTCCCATCCGCCCTCCCCGTGACGCACATGCCGTCCCAGAGGATGCTGACGCGACGCTCGGACGCCCGGGACGAGATAGTGCTCCGCGCCACATCCTCGAGGCCCCTTCACCGGATGGGGATGTCTTGGGTCATTTCTTATCTTCTTGCCTTTTTAGTCACGCGAGCAGGTTCGGATTCTAGACGCAAACTTCGCGGCGCCCTCGGTACAACTCGCTAGCTAGCAGTGTCACATATGAATACGTCAATATCAATGTACTTGTCTTGAATACCTGTTGCGTTTTCGTGAACAGTTGGGTTTATAATAAAACAGTACATGGTCTAACTCAAGGCTACAGATGTTGACACCACCCGTGGCATTGCAAAATTGACCTCCGGTATTTGTAAATGCACAACAGTCAGAGCACCAGCAATCCCCGAATTCTGTCCTAACGATGACATCACGCCCTGCTTGGGCTGCACCGGAGTGGCGGGCCGCCTGCGGGCACAACCCGGGAGACCGCACCCCCGCCGCCTCTCACCCTGGCGGCGGCGAGCTGGCCGCCGTGTACCAGCCGCTGGTACTCGTGCTCGATCTGGCGGTACTTGGCCGTCGGCTCGGCCCGGCCGGGCGCCGCGCACTCCTCCGGCTCCGGGCTCTCGGGACTTAGGCCGTCGCTCTTCTGCTCCTTCTTGCTGAGCGCCTGCGGGCACGCCGTCACGTCAGCAGGGGCCGTGACGTCACGTTCGACGGATGGGAGTCAGTGGCAGGGGTCGATGGTCCTGTCACGGTCTGGGGACCCGGCGGGGCAAGAGAATCACGCAGAGCAGCTTGACATTATATTCATAGCGTTATCTCACAACAAAGTGAGACGACGGAAACTGAGGCTCGTTCTTCATTGGCTAATGGAACCCATTCACTAATATTCACTCAGCAGAGCCCATACGATCTGCGACGTAGCCACTGACTTACCCGCAACGTCACTGCCGAAATCCATTCCTAACTTGACCGAGAGACGAAGTGCGGTGAGTCGTGATTGTTACCATAGTAACGCATCGCAACACATCACAGCACAGCGGCGCAAAACATGATGGCAGACGTATAAGCAGAGCAAATGGGCAGTTCTCGATGGCATGTGGATGACGTCATCGACGATGACGCTGCTGATCACACAACTTGCCAATGGGTGTGCTACTTAGTGATAACAAGTGCGACCTCGCTGCCTTTTTATGTCCGTATGGACTGAACCAGCCGATCTACTTTTTGTCCATATTTGAACATGCCCGAGTGCTCTATGACCCCGCATGATGCGCTTACTCGGTGGTAACGTGTTGCTACTTCTGTGCATGGTGTTTTGCGGTGAGGAATGGGACCCAGCATTCCTCAATATGATCCGCGAAATATAGTAGGTGCAGCACTTCATGCCCGTGTTAAGCTGTGGTAGTTTCCACCCAGTTCGTCATCAGGTGTGAACAGCCTGAATACTAATATCCCCCGTGATTTATGTGCCATGTAGCGGCCACCGAACAGCCGGCCGGGCATGCCAGCTGCTGCTATAAATCAGCTTTGCGCTCAAGGCTCGGAGGAAAACAACTATTTCTTAGCCGGCGCATGCTAGACACCTGCACCCCGTACCCAGATAACCCGGCCGGTGACACGCAGGAGCAGGAGCAGGAGCAGGAGCAGGAGTAGGAGACGCGCGACTGAGCAGCCCCGCCCGCGTCAACACTCTCCCGGCTCTTGACGACTGCCAGCAGCACGACCCACTAGCTCTGGCCCTGGGACGACGGCGGGTCCAGGACTCGCCTGACGAGCGGTGTCCGGTTGGCGGCCCGGTCCCACCCCCGGTTGTTCAGAGCTCGGTCGTGAGCACTTCATTAAAGCATGGTCATAACTCGCCAGTATTGCACAGCAGCCGTTCTCATGAGCCGACAGCAGCTGCTATGTCCTGCTCTGCGGGCTGAGCAACGTCCGGGGAGAGCTGTTTACCACCGCGGGGTGAGTTGCTTACCAGGCACCGCACATGATGTTCACCACGACCGGAAATAGTCTGCGGTCGTGCAGAGTCATGCACGCCGGCGCCATGCATACACAAGGTAATTGTGTTCCTATGTGATTATTTTAGCTCGTAGGAGCCTTTTTGTGCTGCGATTCAAGTTAAGTGAAGTTTTATTCAGCAACCCGTGTGCTTGCTGGCGCATGTGGCCTTAACTAGGGACTGCATTAGTTAAAGAGTGCAATGAGTGTGGTCTGGTCTTTATGTCAATTGAAAGCGCATTGCCATTTATGGAGCTTTAAACCCTGGCGCCCATTCGCGCGCACACCATGTTCATGTTCATGTACGCTTCGTTAGGATTCATACCCATAGTGAGTATCATAAATCCGCTCAGGTGTACAATGCGGGCAAAAATGGCGGGTTCTTACACATACACAATAAAAACGGTCTCGCCACGATATATGCAACAAACCGAAAACATCCGATAGTCAAGCAGGCGGGCGGGTATTCCATGCACACGCGACCCGCTAGGAGAACGTTCTCTGCGTGGCTGACAGGCGAAATTTCTCCAGCTGCAGTTCTCCCGCAGCGACCGCCCTCGTCTCCCCTCTGGGATACCTGGGAGCGCCTAATGCGTAGAGTTCTGAGGGACGGCGGGCAGTCGTGCTCATTCAGCGCACTGAACACTTCGGGGCAATCTCACTGATGCACCACTTCACTCAGCCACCTAAACAAATTCAGGACTGGTGAAATATAACTTCACAACGTCGTACCGCAGTGCCAAGTCCCGCTGCAAAGTTGGTAGCTTTCTGAGCTCGTGACAGACGGTATTCGGCCGCCTCGCCCCAAACAGGAAGACAGGACAGTAAGTAGGGGAAAACGTGAACCTGTACCAGGAGCGCAGGGGCTTTGGTTGTGAGGCAGTGGCAGATTTTGTAGAGCCCGAAGGACAACGTTACATTTGCAACCCATCGCCGATACATAGGGCTTCTAGGGCAGACCGTGGTCTAGGACCATGCCCCGGACTTTCACAGTGGGACATGACGGAGTATGCACACCTGACAGGGTGTTGTAGAACCAGGATGTATTTTTGGCAACATACCATGCATGGAAAATCCCATATCATGCAGTGCCAACAACGTGCCAGCTACGATGCTCGGACGATTGGTCGAAAGTCGCCCACAGTACACGCGCGTCACCGTGCTGCCATATTTTCAGTTCAAACCGCAAAGATCACGAGCAGTGCGCTGCGCTGCGGTTGCACCGGGTTGCAGCGGCCGCTGGACTTCAACACGTGACATGGACCTGTCATGTGTACAGTTCGAATATGCATGATGGCGTGCGCACGGAGTGTATATACGGGAGCGCCGTCGCTCGTAAGCACCTGTCCCGCTTCGTGCGACGAGCAGGTGTGGGAAATGCGATCATGACACCACCTCAGATACCAGTGTTTCCGAGCGGACTTCTCCCATGCCCTGAGCCATTACATTGCAGCCGTGTGTAGACTGCATGGGAACTGGCTCATGACACCGATACTCAGTGTTTGGCATTTCCTTCCACCACCATGCATCGGCAGCTGCCCTGGGCACTAACACCCACATGCTTCTGACCCCTATGCTGTTCAATACTGGGCCATCAATACTCACAGCTGACCCAAAGACCAAGTCACCGAGACCTTGGTCGTCCTATTACATCAAAAGGATCAGGCGTGTCACACAGTTTTTGAACATTTCTGTCCGAAACGAATAGAAAATGTCTATTCTTTCATAACTTAAGTATTGGCACTTTCGTTTTTATGTGCAGCCGAAACACAATGAATTCGCACAGAGTATCTGTCCAGCAAGACGCACATAGGCGCCGGGATACAGCGCAGACCGCACTTCGCGAGGGAGCTGATTCTCGTGTGATATCCGCGATCCGTTCGCTTTTCGCCCGGAAGTGGGAGGAGGCCGTGTACCTTGAACATCTTGTGCACGCCACTGCGAGGCTACGTGCACCAGACCCGTGCTGGGGGTGCAAGAAGTCATGCAGGGAGAGCGCGGCGCTCCCCCCCCCCCCCCCATCAGAAGTAGGCGCCTGTCGGGGCCGGAAAGTCTGGCGGCGTTGCCGCCGTAGCCGAGGGCGGCCCACGGCTTCCGACCCATGCGCAGCGCAGGCTGACGGCCGAGGCCTCACAGCGCAGGCTGACGGCCGACGTTATACAGCGCAGGCTGACGGCCGACGCCACACAGCACAGGCTGACGGCCGAGGTCACACAGCACAGGCTGACGGCCGAGGTCATGTAGCGCGGGCTGACGGCCGAGGTCACGTAGCGCGGGCTGACGGACGAGGTCACACAGCATCCCGCACGACCAGCGGTCGCCGGGCCTCGGAGATAGGCCGAATGCCACGGTATCTGGTGTTTTTCTACGCAGTGGCATGCGGCTGACCTCATGTTCTTTCATACATTAGGGGAGCAATTACACCGCGCGTCCCTCCCTCCCCCCTGTCCGTCCTCACCCACCTCCACATTCCGGCAAGGGACCGAGTAACAAGCCATGCTCCCGTGGATTGCACAATACAGAATGCAGGGCGCACAGTGCGCCGCCGCCTGCGCCGTGCGCAGGGTCGCAGCGCGCGCCTCGCGGACCAAGGTCGTGTCGGAGGTCGGCCGTCTGCAGTCCCCGGCCGGCCCGCTGCAGTCCTGGTGAAAGCGGGCGGCCCGACAGCTGGCGGCGGCGCTGCAGCGGTGCCGTCGGCGCCGCGCCGCCGCCCTCGGTCGGCGCCGGGCACGGACGCCGAGCACGCGACGCCGCCGCACGTGCCGACGCTTTTCCTGTGCTCGCTCCAGAGCTGTCCGCACGCCGCTCATGGGGCTGGTGGCGACCGGCGGCCGCGAAAACACCGGCTGCAAGTACGGGCCTCCTCGGGCAAGATTCCATTCATGCAATCTGCTGGCTGCCATGTGGGCTGTCTGTCCCCATAGCCTTCTGCTACTCATTCCTAATTAGTTGCGCCCAGTCGTTGCAATCCGACTGCATTTCTTTCAGTACTAATGTTACATAGCATGGAGTTTCAGGATAGCTTACACCAAAAGCTACTCACTGGCACTGATCATTGTAAGAGCGCTGTGGGTGGAGCTAAAACCGACCAACTGAAACGCCAGCGGTAACAATGTGTAGCATTTCTTGCCGCATTCACCCGCCATTTTGTAATGCCTCACCCATACCCGTCCTCATACCCGTCCTCTCACTCATACCCGTACTCACCCATATCCGTCCTCATGCAAGTATTTTTAACAGAATCTGTACCTAACCAGCCTGTTACCCATTACGCCCGTACCCATACGGTAGATGGAATGTCATATGGGTACGCAAGGGCTTGCCCAACTCGTTGGGTCCCCTAACGGACACGAGGGCGAGGCAGACGATCTGATACGGGTCAGCGAGGCGCAGCGTTGCATAACGCTGCGTTGCGTCAGATGTACGGGTCTCGCCAATCAGGACCCGGTGCTCGCCGCGAAACGCTGCTCGGCCAACCATGCACGGCGACCCTGGTCCCGGCAGTCGGGGCAGGTCGGGCAGGCCGAACAGACCATTATTTTCTCCCAACAGAATCGTGCGCCTTCCCTGAGAGCGCTCCCAGTTGCCGGAAAGCCTTCGGCCGCCGCCGCCTCCGACGTCGCACTCTCCGGGGCTGCCATGAAGCAGCCGGGTCACGCCCGGCAG